TTTATTTTTTTCTAGGGAGGAAAAACGGACTTTTCCCCTCTTTCTTGCACATAGTCAGTAGTTGTTAAAGTAGAGAGACATTATTTTGTGAATGTGGCTTCATGGCAGTTCATTTTTTGGTGTTTATTGTTGGTCTTGAGAACGTGATTTGTAAAAGTTGTTGGAAGGTGTTTCGTCTGAATTCTGGCATGTTGAGTTATACTTGAGATGAGCGTAGTTAGGGATGGATGGGATGGAATGAGATGTGATGGAGACGTGTTTGGGCTGTCCGTCCCGCCGTCCCTTGACACGAGTTTTCTCGTGCTATTTAGTGGTTGTCACCTTTGTGCAGAGGGTGCCTCACAACTCAATAGCTGAGGAAAAGAGTCAAAAGGAGCGGAAGCAAAAATGGGAACAAAGAAAGGAAAATCCTCTCTCTCCCTCCTTCCAGCGGGACGGAGTAGAGGTGATCAAGGCGACGGCATGTTCTTTTCAAATCGTATTAACCATTCCCTCAGCCCCAGAAACTCCCTGCAGAGCATATTTTACGGCTAATAGTCATCCAAAGTTCTTGAGCGTTTTCACCTAATGATCAAGCCCCACCTGCGAGGCAGGACCAAACATCACGAAGGGCAGAGGCGTCGACCAGTGGAGATATATGAGGAGTTTCTGGCAGGGCTGTACCAGACACGGTTGGGCATCATTGATTCCTGTCGAACTCAGGCAAGCGCTGCCCGTCTCCATAATTGTACGAGCGGCCGCTCTGGAGATGGCAGAAGGAAGGGGCAGAGTTTAGCCGGGGAGGTGTTGCACCATCGAGCAGTGGAACGGGTCGTTATATGCGAGGGTGGTGTCTTTCCCCTGTGGGTCTCACGCGGATCTGATGTACGGGAGGGGAGGATGTCGAGCTCGAAGCTGCTACTGGGAGGAGCAATACTCCCCAGATCAAGGTTTGTATTTCGTTGGACAGTCATGGAAATTGGGGGTAAGACTCAGCCGCCATCTTGTGGAAAACTAGACTTCGGGCTTGGTGGATGGGGCAAAGGGGAATAAAGGAAGAAAACACAAAGGCATATGCAGAGCGAGAGTGGGAGAATGAAAGGGAAGAGGAGGGCTAAAGGAGATCTGGACAGTATTGGGGGGGGGGGGGACCGAGTGAAGACCTCTTTTCGATAGTATTGGTTTGTATTCTTCAAGTTGGAGGAAGGACCAATCCCACCTCCACAAGCCAGTGTGAGAACGTGTGATCGTGTGAAGAAAAGCAAGGCACAGAGCAGGGAATATGTCGAGCAAACAAAGGTAAAGAAAAGCAACTACAAGAGCAGGGGGGAAGAGAGGCGAGAAAGCAGGATCCATACTCTGATTTAAGCAATCATATTCGAGAGGGTTTTTGATTCTCTGCTTGATTAATCTGCTACCTGCCATGCTCCTCGGTCAGTCGCAGCATACATGTGAGAATTTGTTCTACTACTCAACATTGCCAGCCATAATGAGACCTTTGACCGTCGAGGTAAGGATCTGGGGGAGGGACGCACGACAACCTCTCCCAGCAGGTCATTCGCAAGAAGGGTGACCCTGTAGCAGAATCTCTCAAAACTCACCCTCTCTGAATTGAGCTCTTTTTTTCTTCTCTTATTGTTAACTGGATTGCTTTTCAAAAATTGAGATGGGGGGGGGGGGGGTTGTAAAATCCGCTGGTTTCCGGACAGAGGCCGCCAGCTCTCCTTTAGCATTTGGCCACGGTCGTGCCATGACTTTTGGTACGTTTGAGTGGTGCCCCTCACTGAGGTCACCTCCAACTTTTTTGCAGTACTTCAGCCTTCATAGTGGGGCTGTGTTTTTCTTGGTTCTGCGCCCCTCCGCAGCATCGTCAGCCAACAGCGAGCCAGGGAGGGAGAGGCCTTCAGTACTTCGCGTTTCCCATTTGAATTTTTCACAGTCTGACTTTTCACGCCTCTATCTTCTTTATGTTTTCTGCCTCTGGAATATCTCATCTTCTTGAGCCTCATTCCCAGTCCCCAGCTCTGAGTGCATTTCTTCAGGATAGTGTCCTAAGCACGGAAGCAGATGACGTCCTGTTCTTATCAGGTTATCTCTATCACTCGCTACTTCTAGGCATCACCTACCCTGCCAGCCTGCACCAAAAAGCCAAGCAGGCCCTCGCCTCTGCTTGCTGCTCGGACCAGACAGGGGGTTTACTCAGCACCACCCCACTGATTTCTTGATCCACTCTAGAGACCCTGTGGCAGTGATTGCGACATCCCATCCCATCTCTCCCGCTTGGGGATTGGGCATCACGCTTCACTTCACAATCACATCACAGCAGTCAGTCAGTCACTGGGCCGTAAAGTAGCTGCTACAACCACTTGAGGATTGGATTGTGGTGCTCTGCCCCGAACAACAGAACGCAGCCTGCCTGTGTCTGGCTCAGCAACCTTGGGCGCTTCGCCCTGACCTAACCCGACCCGACCCTGCGACCTACAGAAACTAATTGACCTGCCCTCGTCTTCTATACCAAACACATTCTTCCCTCCTCCTCAGTTTGGAAACCAACCTACTACCTCCTGTATCTCTTCTCTCCCTGTCTCTCCCTCTCTCTTGCTCGCATAACCTCCGTCAGTCATGTCGGGACCAGGCTCGCCGGGCGGCGAGGGCCCCACGCAAGCTCCACCCCATCTACCTCCAGGCTGGATTGCGCAGTGGGACTCCAAGAGCAAGAAATACTACTATGTCCAGCTCTCGACCGGTGTCTCGCAGTGGGAGGTCCCTACAGACGCCGCGCCCGTGGGCGGCACGCCCGCCTCGAACCTCGAACACCCTTATGGCGTGCCCGGCGCAGGCGAGCCCGAGCTCATCACCCACCCGGATGGCACCCAGACCGTCAAGCACGCGGACGGTAGGATGGAGCCTGTCATGCCTGACGAGAACGGCGGAACGAGGGGAGGTGTGGGCGATGGCCCATCCGGCGAGAGGGGCTTGGGGGTAAGCATAGCACTTTCCATTCGTCGGATGTCACTCGTCCCCTTTCGCGACGGACGGGAAGGCAGGCTGGATGACTGACCGAGGCCCTTTTCCCTCTGAATATAGACTATGGCGATGAACGCATTACTCGGCGGCAAACAGCACGGCAGCAGCCACGGCAACTCTAACAACCTCGGTGGTCTCGCAAGCCAGGTGTTCAGTGGTCTCACACACAGCGGGTCCTCCGGCAGCCATGGCTCGTCAGGACAGTCCGGGTCAGGTGGCCTGGGGGGCAAGCTCGTCGGCCAGCTGGCGTCGAACCTTTTCTCGTCCGGAAACAAGCCGCAACAGCAACAGCCGCAGAATTATCACAGCGGGCAGGCGGGGCAACACTCGAGCTCGGGAGGCCTGGCGGGGTCCATGATGGGCGGGGTCGCGCACATGTTTGGAGGACAGTCGCAGTCATCGGTAAGCTATAATTTCAACAAGAAGGAGAGAGAAAGAAGGGGAAAAGGCGATGAGGGGACGACCTGAACATGAACATGGTCACCTTCGAAGGCGCATCGCTGAGGGCATACACGGCTGACACCTGATGCTTCATCGTAGGGCCAAAGCTACGGATACTCAAACTCGGGCCAACAAGGAGGCTACAGCGGCTCGGCGCCTCCAGCATCCTACCAGCCGCCCGGACTGCCTCAACACCAAGCTGCGGGCCAAGCGCATACTCCCCAGTCGCAGCCACCACCCTCATACCACACGCCTGCGTCCAATGGCGCCTCACACTCGACACCGTCCTACCAGACCCCCTCGCAACCGGGCCCCAACCCTTACGGCCACGCGCCACAGCAGCAGCACGGCACACCGAGCTTCCCTCCGCCGCCGCCAAACCAATACGAGGGTGGAGGAGGGCAGCACGGCTACCCAGGCCCGCCACAGCACCCACAATACGGTCAGCCACCATCGCATCAGTACGGAGCGCCGCCGGGACCACCGCAGGGTCCTGGTAATCCTTACGGCTCCCCGCAGCACCATGGTGGAGGAGGATTTGGCCAACAACACCATCATCAGCCGCCCTCTTATGGTGGACAGCAGGGAGGAGGTGGTGGTGGCGGGGGATATTACCCCCCGCCGCCGACCCAGTATCCGCAGCAGCCGTCGTACGGCCAAGGGCTGCCCTCGGGTCACCAGTATGGAAACAACCCGCCGTACTAGCCGGGCTCGTTGTTGACGATCTCCCCTCTCCCTTTCTTCGCATGTGGGCTGAGGAGCTGTACTAGGGTGCAGGTGAGGAGCTGGCAATGCTGCCTCGTCAGGTAGCTGAGCAGATGGCTTGAATTGGTTAGATCCGATACGCAACATCTGTCATGCTATAGATGAGGGGGCCACCCGTTCTCTCCTCGTCAAGCTTCAACACCGGGGCGCTGGAACTCGGGAGTACAATCAGGATTAGATGGATGGATGATGGGACGAACACGGTCTCTGGATAGTTTTTTATATCTTCCTCAGCAAACACAACGACAAAACAAACACACACAAGAAGAAAACCAGAAAGAAAAAAACCAGGCGCAACCATCGTGTCTCGACGACCATGAGACGTGTTTTCGAAAGTTTTTCTTTTGTATCAGCGATTCGAACATCGGCATTTAGACTACTTGTCACGAGAGGCTGTAGCAGCCTGCCTTATTAACCCTCCTCCCACCCCTGGCCTCTTGAGAAAAACGATCAGAGGATGCACTGCACTATCATAGATACCATGGAAATCTCAAAAACAAAACAGTAGCTGGAAGCCTTGCCACTGACTTTCAAATGCCGGTGGTGATAAACGTCGATGACTGCATCGCAAAACAGATGGTGGGTATCTTCTTAATGATTGTCCGCCCTTCCAACTGGACAGTGATGCGCTGAGACAGCTACATTGAACCATGCCAAAATGTAATACATATAGAATGAAAAGGAAGAAGATTGCCCGCATTCTAGTCTCCCTATTGCGTCTTCTTCTTCCCCTTCTCATCCCCGTCACCCTCCTTGGCCACCGCCAGACTCTTCAGCAAGGGAACCACCACCCTCGTCGCCAGCACCCACGACCCGGCGGCCACAAACACAACGTACACCACCGTGGGCACCAGGCTGCGCGGCAGGACGTTGTACACGAACGGGTCCAAGATGAGGTCGGCAAGGACGGGTTCTGGGGTTTTCATGAGGGTTTGGTTGAGGGTGAAATAGTCGGCTGCGGCGGAGACGCGGAGGAAAAGGACTGAAGAGGAGGAGGAAGAAGTAGAAGGATGATACGAATGGGTATCAGCCTGAGGATTACCGGCGTTGAGAGGAAATTGTCTGGACATGGAGTAGTTGTACAGCGAGGTGATGAGGGTGGGCGTGTCAAAGACGTGTGGAAGCTCGTGGGTCTCGAGATGAAAGGCTGTGGGTTGCTAGATGGTTGGAGGGAAAGGCGGAGAGGTAAGATGAGCATGTTAGCTTTTTCTTTTCCTTTTCCTTCTCTCCGTAAGGCCAGATGAGATTGAGCATGAGATGAGAAGGAGAACAGGACGTACAATTGCAGGCCAGCATATGCGCACTTCATATCTCTGCCCCTCATTCAGGCCATCAAGGATGAGCCATGTTTCTGTGCCCCGCGGCAGGTCGGCCGTCGGGAATATTGATTTTATGTGTGTCCTTAGCGACCAGTTGTCTGGTGTGAGGACGTCGATGTGGAGGTCAGCGAGGCTAGGGCTCGAGGGTGGGATGTTGATGGGCTCTGGACCTAGAAAGATGGTCTTTTCTACGTTGGCGAGGGCGAGTGTTGATAAGCCTATGAGGAGGCAGACCAGACTCTGCAGAAACATGGTCGTTTTGAGCAAAGGAATTGAGGGAAGTGAGTGAGTGAGGGTGACTGGAAGGAGTAGGTTGAGGAGGTGCCTCACTAGCAAGTATAGCACTTAACCAATCCACTCATTCACTCACTCACTGTGTGAGAAAGCACCAAAGTGTGGCTGGAGAAAGATGGCTAACCAACACTCCGCCACAGTTCAGCATGACATAATTATAACTCCCTACAGTGGCTGGACTACAGCATGTCCTTCCCCAGAATCACATGCTAATCTGGCCAGGGGAGGTTAGTGGTTTCCCCAGGCCTGTGGGTATTAGCACTAGCGGGTCCCCCGAGGCTTTGGCGTATTGGGTTTTTTCGGGGGGGGGGCATGACCTTGTGAGTGACTATGAACCTGGATCGTCCCTCCCTGGAAACGCCGAGGGACTTGCCTCAACAGGAATCTGGCCAGGCACGGTTCAAACCCCCCATCGTCTTGTTCTTCTTGGTTCTTCGTCTTGTTCTCATTCCTCATTGTCATTCGTGGGATAGAGCACCAATGACATGGATACATGCAGAAGAACGAATGAGGAGCGTCTACCATCCTTTCCCTACTTCTAAATATATTTCATTCCATACTACTGCTTGCGCGTTGGCCATGAGAGTTCAAGGGCACTGCTGCTGTCAAACGCCCGAGATATAGGACAGACAAGCTTCGACAGCAACTATTTCTCAGACGCGATCGCCTTCTTCAGCACCGTTTCTACCCCACGTGCTCCAACTTCCCACGCGCTCGCTCGAGAAAGAGCCGCAGGCTTCCCCGACCCAGCAATGGCCTCGCAGTCCAAGCTCTCCCTCCCCGCCGGACCAATGTCCTCGCCGGCCCAGCGCGAGCGCACCATTCGCTCCATCGTGTCCCAGCTGACAGACCTCTACCTGGCCAACCGCACCCGCATCTCCCGCGCCGTCTACCTGACCCTCTTCGTCGCGCTCATCAACCGCGTGCGCAATGCCATCGCCGAGCAAAAGGCCGCGTCGAGGCGCGAGGCTGACCGGCGCAGGGAGCGCGGTGGCACCACGGCCGGGGGGCAGCAGGGGGAGGATCTTGCTGGGGCAAATACGGACAAGAACAAGAAGAAGAAGAAGAAGGTCGAGCTCGACCGGGAGTTCTTCCGGAGCCTGCTGCGGCTTCTGAGGATCGTGGTGCCTGGCTGGCGGAGCAAGGAGACCAGGCTGCTCATCAGCCACAGCTTCTTCCTGGTCGTCAGGACTCTGATTAGCGTCAAGGTTGCTGCTATGGATGGTGCCATCGTCAAGGCCTTGGTCAAGGGCCACGGGAAGGAGTTTCTGATGAGGATCGTGTGGTGGATGTTGATCGCCGTGCCGGCTACCTTTACGAACTCCATGGTAAGTTTGTGTGTATGCTGTGGGGCATACAGTGTTAAAGAAAGCAAGGAAGAAAGTGAAGCTGACTTTAAACCCTTATTGCGCAGCTCTCGTGGCATCAGGCAGAACTGTCCTTGAAATACCGGACCAGGCTCACCCAGCACATTCACGACAAGTACCTGTCCAAGCTGACCTTCTACGGCATTTCGGCCCTGGACGACAGGATAAAGAACCCTGATCAGCTCATAGCGGTGGACGTTGCCAAGTTCTCAAACAGCCTGGCTGAGCTGTACAGTAACCTGGCCAAGCCGCTGCTCGATATGGCAAGTCTTTTCACATAGATTCAACTATCTTGATACGCACCGATTTGCTGACTGGCAGAACCTCCACAGACAATCTATACATGGTCGCTTTCCAGCAGTGTAGGGGGCGAAGGCGTCATGTTCATGTCTCTTCTCGTCCAGCTGTCTGCGAATGGTATGCGCGCACTCACACCGCCCTTCGGCAAGTACGTGGCAGACGAGGCGAGACTAGAAGGCGAGTTCCGCTTCCAGCACTCGCGGTTGATAGACCACAGCGAAGAGGTGGCGCTGTATGCAGGCCACGAGGTCGAGAAGGACACCCTCGACAAGGGCTACTTCACCCTCATCAAGCACGTCAACTACATCCTGCGGCGGCGCTTCTACCACGGCTTCATGGAGGACTACGTCATCAAGTATTTCTGGGGTGCTCTGGGCCTGATGCTCTGCAGCGTGCCAGTCTTTGTCAAGTTCCCGGGCACCATCACCCAGAACATGGGTGACAGGACCGAGACATTTGTGACCAACCGCAGGATGCTGCTGTCTGCATCGGATGCCTTCGGGCGCATCATGTTCTCGTACAGAGAGGTCATGGAGCTGGCCGGATACACGTCGCGGGTGGCCACGCTACTGGAGGTCATGGAAGACATTCAGAATGGCCGCTTCGAGAAGAAACTGGTGTCCAGCGCGGGCACCGAGGGTAACGAGGCCGTTCTCAAGGGCAGAGGAAAGGTCGTGGAGAGCAAGGATATCGAGTTCATCGACGTGTAAGTCTATTCTCTCTCGTGAGGGGAAACAAGCCCCTCTCAGCTCATACTGAAAGGCCCGCATTGGCTGATGGACACTGATTCGGACACACCACGCAGCCCGATTATCTCTCCCAACGGTGACGTCCTCGTCAAGGCTCTCTCCTTCTCGCTCAAACAGGGTGATCACCTCCTTGTCGTGGGCCCCAACGGCTGTGGCAAATCCTCCCTGTTTCGGATCCTGGGTGGTCTCTGGCCCGTTTACGGCGGCACCGTCCACAAGCCCCCCTTCACCGGCATCTTTTATATCCCGCAGCGCCCTTACCTCTCGCGCGGCTCACTTCGCCAGCAGATCACATACCCAGACGGCCTGCGCATGACCCGCGCCAAGGGAGTCACCGACGCTGACCTGCTTGGAATCCTCAAACTCCTCAACCTCGAGAACCTCGTGACTCTGTACCCGGAGGGCTGGGATGCCGAGGCCGAATGGCGTGACGTGCTGTCGGGCGGGCTGCAGCAGCGCGTCGCCATGGCCCGCCTCTTTTACCACCGCCCGCGCTACGCCATCCTCGACGAGTGCACCTCATCTGTCACCCTTGATACTGAGAAGGTCATGTACGACAACGCCAAGGCCCTAGGAATTACCCTCATGACCGTCAGCCACCGGCGGAGTCTGTGGAAGTACCACAGCCACATCCTGCAGTTCGACGGCCAAGGCAACTACGTCTTCACCAGGCTGGACGCCGACAGGCGGATGAAACTCGAGGACGAGAGGGAGGACCTGGAGGTGCTGCTGAGGCAGGTGCCAGAGCTGGAGAGGAGGATGGAGGAGCTGACCTCTGCGTAAGAGAGTGGATGGGACTTGTATGTGTATGTATATACATGTGTATGTGTGTACGTGTGTGTGTGTGTGTGTGTGTGTTCGTGTATGTATGCATTGCGTGCAGAAAAAGATATCTACAGTATGTTGAGGTTCATTTTGAGGGGGGAGGGGGCTTCGGGGGCGATCAGGGCAGTGAACAGTGAGCATGTGTGCGCTAGAGGATCGTTATAACTCATCATCAAACTCGGGGTTAATAAGTACATAGGCGGGAAGACGACGAATCGTTATCATACATCTCTCTGATCGCTGCCGTTCCTGTTTTGTTCATTAATCCATACCTCACTGGACATAGGACAGAGGCGCACTGTCACACTGATCATCATCTTTTCTGTTTTTTGTTCAGGGTAGCACTGTACTGAAATGAGTGTATATATCTGCAAAGAGAGATGATGAAGGGGAAGGCGGAAGAATCATTGCATCATCTGTCCCGTGTTTGGTGACGGCCTTCTATCAGAGCCGCCGCCGCCGCCACCACCACTATGATGCTCAGCCTCAAATAGTATCACCACATAAATCAAGCCCGTCGTTCCAAGATTCTTCGGAAAACAACTGGAAAGAGAGAAAGAAGAACCAAGTGAACAGTCCCGGGGTTCAGGACCAAGATCCAAGGGGGCACACATTCGCCTGCGCCCCCGCCAGGTTCATTCATTAGATGTACATACGTGCATGATATTCTCCTATTCATGAATCGAGGTTTCGAGGGAGAAGAAAGGAATAGAAAAAGGAAAAATACCAACAACACCGTGAGTAATGCTTACGTCGCGGCTGGCTTGCCAAAGGGCCCAGCCGTGTTTCTGCTTCTTCTTCTTCTTCTTCTTCTTCTTCTACCCCCCGCTTCTTGCACTCCAGTTGCGCATATCTTTTCCGTCTCGATCTGTACGGGTTTCTTGGGTTCCGTTGCGTCCCCAGTGCTCAACTTCCGCGAGCATGTCCCTATCCTGTATCTGTCTTTAAACCCTCCTCGAATTGCCAAAGCACCCTCTATGCCTTTAAAGAATATTGCAAACAACTCCTTCCCTTTCTAGAGAGTGGGCGGGTGTCTAATTCGCAACTTTCACGCCCCCCTTAACAAAATCCACATTATTCGCCACCGTCTCACTGCCACTGCCGCCATCCTCCGAGGATCCACGGAGTGGTGAAGGAGGCAGCGCCGCGGCTGCCTTGCTCTCGTGCTCAGTGAGACCCTTGCGGATGGCGAGGACGCTATCTACGATGACGGCGTCGATGCCCTCTTTGACTTGGCGCTGTTTTTGGGGGGAAGAGGTTAGCCATCGGTTCATTGGGCAGTACAAACGAACGACATGGAGGGAAAGCAAAATAAATCAAGAAGAAAGAAGGGCTTATTTCTTACCTGCACCATAAGTGGATCGTTGTTCTCCGAACCATAGCTGACACAGACAAGACCATGCTGCTTCACAACCCTCACCAGGCGCGGCGAGTTGGTAAAGGGCTCCGTATTGCTCACGATGCCCAGCAGATTCCAGCGACTGGCGAAGCGAATAGCCTCCTGCAGAGAGCTTGCGCGGACATCACCGACAGGGCTGGTCCCAGAGTCGGAGAGGAACATGATGGGGAAGTTGGGCTGCTTGAAGCTGAGACAAAGGCAGATGTCCGGGTTGAAGCTGCTGAAGATGATGTGGCGGTCCTCGGCGAGGTCATAGACCTTTGTGAGGACGGTGTCGCAGAATGAATTGAGCTCGACGGCGTAGGCGTCCATTTCGTGCTCCTCACTCTCGTGCAGCATCGGATACTTCATCTCGATGTTGAAGCCCACGCCCTGAGGGAGGTCGCGGAACAGGTCCTCGAGAGTCGCGAAGGGGGCCTGGATGAAGTTACCGCGCGAGTTGCCCTTGTAGCCCTTCTCCTTGAAGTCGCGTGTATGCTTCATCCGCTCGTCTGCTGCTACTGCTGCCCGTCCGTCACTCAGTGGCTTGCTGCCGTATCCGACTGACATGGACCGCTGTCGTGGGCCGGAAGAGCCAACGCCGTGGTGATGGTGGTGGTGGTGGTGATGTTGGACAATGCCGTTGTTGTGGGCGGCGGTGGTGGTAGTAGTAGTGGTAGTAGTAGTGACGCCATCTTCGCCATTGATGGAGGCATTGTTGTGCCTCTGCTGCTGTTGCTGCTTCTGCTGCAGTGTCTGACTGAGCATCTCTTTCCCGTTAAGCCGCCTTGCGTCTGGGTTAATGTGCAGGAACTGCTCGAGGGTCAAGGTGTGCACAGGGGCGTCGATGCCCGTCTCGCTGACGAGGAAGTCGTGATAGATGACGGGCACATGATCCTTTGTCAGCTGGACGTCAAACTCGACATACTGGGCGCCCAGGTTAGCAGCGGCGATGAAGGACTCGACCGTGTTCTCGCCCAGCTGGAGCGACCTGTTGCTGGTGACATTCTTGCCAAGCCCTCGGTGGCCAATGACCATGGTGGACGCCAGCTTCTTCCAGTACGTCTGGCGCGACGTGACCTCCATGTTGGCGTGAGCAAAGGGCGTGACGACGAGGAAGTTGAAGTTGACGGTACCGATGACCTCGAGCGTGGCGGACGACATGACGGGCACGCACACGTCGCCCTGGAGGTTCATGCGCTTGGACCCGACCGAGGGCCGCACGCTGGACAGGAGGGCGACTCCTCTGCCGATCTTGTTCTTCTCGTTGCCTGAGTAGGTCGGCACGATATCGAAGAGCAGCTTCACCTTGGCGGCATCGCGCGTCATGAACACGATGGGCTCTGTGGCGATGTTCTCGTGCACGGGGAGGTCGATGATGGTTGGCTCGCCCTGGGCTCCGTTGGCCGAGACCACCACCGATAGCGCCGTGTCCAGCTGCGTCGTGTGTGCCTCGGTTAGAGGAACACGGTCCAGCTTAACAGCGTCGACGTCCTTGCGCATGTCCATGGAGCCAAGGCTGACCAGGACCAAGCTCTCGTCCTTGAGGTATCGGTGACCAAATGTCTTGACGGGCTCAGCGGCGCGTAATGAGGAGGCGACCGCATTAGATCGCCTGTCGCCCAGCGAGGAGACCTCTGGAGGCGAGGTTCCTGCGTTGGTGGCAGGTTGTCCATCTTCCCCCTCGGTCGTTGACAAGACCTCATCCACACGCGTATTCTCCCTCAGGAGGCGGGCGATGGACAGGTGGCCTCGCAGGGCGGCGTGCTCCTTGGCCGTCCAGCCGGACGAGTCGAGCCTGTCCACATCGGCACCAGCCTCGACTAGCAGCCTCGCGACCTGTGGGTGCCCGTCAACGGCAGCGATGTGCAGTGGCGTCCAGTTGAAGTTCTTCTCTGCAAGCTGCAGGTCAGCCTTTTGCTGATCCGTGCCCTCGATCAGGATGCGCGCGCACTCGTCGTGGCCGAACCTAGCAGCAATGTGCAGTGCCGTCTCCCCTGAGCTGTCCTGCCAATTGATGTCCACGCCCGCGTCCACTAGTAGCTTGACGATGCGCGTGAAGTTGGCCTTGGTCGCAATGGCCAGGACCGCACTCGACTTGGAGATGCCTCGTCGCATGGCCGTCTTGTCCTCGCTAGGCCCTCGCCAGTTCTCGCCCTGGAGGAGCGCTTGGGTCGTCAGGGCATGCCCGCCAATAACGCTGAGGTGTAGGGGGGCGTTGCCCTCCTTATCCTGCCAGTCAGGCGCGTCAATGCCCTCTTCCACGTCGAACTGGCCCCACTGCTGCATCTTGTCCATAATCACCTGGCATACCACCACGAATCCGAACTGGGCGGCGTAGTGTAGGGGAAGGCGGCCAAACGAATCCCTCAGGCTCAGGGCGGGCCGCTGGTGCTCGGGCAGCTTGTCCAGGAGGTAAATCAGGACGTCGACAGCCTCGTCGTTCTTGTCCAAGAGGTTCTCCCTGGTCTCTGTCTGGGGAGAGTCTGCAGGTGTTACCGCAGGAGTGATGTACTGTGATGCGTAATGGTTTCCTGACGGGAAAGGATACGTAGGCGCATCGTTGTCCCCAGTCTTGGCAGACTTGGTGCGGCCGATGTGGATGACCAGACGGTGGATGCAGTTCCGCTCGTTGATGTCATCTGGTTCGTCCAACGTTTTTATGTGCGACAGGAGATACTCGATGGACCTCTTGGACCGCATGGAGATGGATCTCTGGAGGAGGTTGAGCAGCAGACTCTGCGCTGCGGGCTCGGGCAGGGCCAAGTTCGTGTCGGCCAGGCGTGCCCTGAGGGTCTCGACGTCGTCATCGCGGATTGCCTGGTCCAGCTGGTCGAGCAGGGCCGAGGGGACGGTCAGCATGGCCTTTGCCGAGGCGCGCCCCAGTGAGCGGATGGACCTCTCGGACCTGTTGTCGTCGACGTTCTGGGCGTCGCCGAGGGCCGACAGCCACTTGTTGATATCACTCAGCAATCGCGCGATGGTGTTGTCCTTGGCAAACGGTTTGGGGTCCACCTTGGTGGCGATGTACCGGTGCTGCGTGGCCGAATTGGGCACCTTCTTGTCAAGCTTCTTGGTGATCTTGACGAAGCCCCGCCGGTTAATCTCGCCGAACCACTGTAGGTTCCTGAACTGCGACCGCAGCTCCAGCAGCGCCCCCATGAGCTCCTCAGTCTCATCCACGTCCAGGTCGCCCACGTCGGGCATCTTGCCGTAGCGGTCCTGAAGGAGCTTGAGGCGGCGGCACCCATCAGAGAACTTCTTGTTGTAAAAGGAGTCGACATCCTCAAGATTTCGGTCCAGCGCGAAGAAAAACTCGGCCAAGTCAGCCTTTTCACCATTCTGTGAGGCCAGGGCAGCAGCTTTGATGAGTTTCTTGAGGCCCTTGTAGTTGACATAGGCAGATGCCCACTCGGGCACCTGGTTTCGAGGAAGACTAGTGGAAGGGAGACGAGTCTTGGTCAGCTGTTTTGATCTTTGGATTGACGTGACATGATGACATACTTCCTCCCAAACTTCATCTTTGCAGGCTTGAGATGATACTCTTTTATGGTGTTGGTTGATTGGCGGTGTCGTCGATGAGCGTTTGTATGTGTCGTCTAGGTTGTATCGACTTGTTGTTGGGGTACTGTGTGTATTCTGTCGTTGTACAATGCTGTTTTGAACAAGGCCCTAGTCCACGTTTCCCAGCCAATCCAACACGCGTCACAAAATGAATGAGTGAACGAGAGATGATCAGATTGTGAGTTGAGTGTGACTCCTGATAAGTCGTCGCTCTGAGAGAGGAGAAAGTCCCAAGGAAGTTGTGTGGGGTGTGTATCAAATGGGACCTGTTTGGCTGCCAGGGCCAAAATGAGGCCTGTTAAAGGGAATCGAGAGCCTGCATCTTGATTTTTGTGAGAAGAAGCCTCGGAGGATCAAAGGGTTACTCAGGCAAACAGGTATGACCCTCAGAAAATAATATGTAGGTGGAAAGCTGAATAAATGTCGGTTGCGCGAAGGGCCTGGCAGGTTGAGGTAAAACTTGAGATTGGAGAAAAAAGAATGAAAAAAGAAGTCTCTGACGGCCAGATACTGAAGTGAGCTTGCTCGTTTCCAAAAGAGAGTAGAGATAAGAGGCGAATGGCGGGAGGGCTAAGATTTGTCCGTCGTTCTTTCTTGACTTGTCTTTTTTTTTTTTTCTGGGTCGAGGAGGCGGTTTCCCCAGTGTCAGAAACTACTTAGGCACGTGGGTTTGACTCGTTCAATCTCTGCTCGGCTGTTGAAGTCCAAAAAAGATGACGTCGGACGCTCTTGAGAGACAGGCCATTGAAATGCAAGTATGAAGACACGTTCCTGGTTTCATGCAACGATCCGGGGAGAAGAAAGGTGTCACCGATCTTGGTGTCTCCGGTTTTCAAGATCCTTCTTTATTCTCCCTTCATCAAGATCCCGGGGATAGCCGTTTGCTGAGACCCTTCTTTGCTCGTTTTCTCTCTTTCCCCCTTTCTCTCTTGAAGAAAAGAACGAGAAGAGTAAACCAAGTAAGTGATGAGGAGGCAAAGAGTCGAGCCAAGAAAATAATACCTTCCCAACCACAAGTTATATATTTACATTTCTTCTCCTCCCCCTTCCCCCTTTTATGCACGGTACGAGTTGACAACGGGCCCCAAGAAAAAAAGAAATGGGGACTCCAGGTCTAGGTTCACCCCACCGTCCCCTGTTCTCGCTAAACTATACTGTACTGTACTTTGTCTTTGCCCTGCGACATGATCAACCCCAGGGAAGAGAGGAGGGGGGGTCCAGTCAGGTGCAAGTGCGATCATCCGTGGTTCTGCAAACGCTCCCTACTGGTCCGGCCTCGGTCCCTTTTTCCCTTTGGTTGCATTGAATTGCGAGATCAAAGATCGATTCTCGATCTGGATCTGGATCTAGAGACTTGCCGCCTTGTTCTCCTTTGTTTCTTGGAAAAGATTAGAGGAAGAGCGTCTTTTCTTTTAGTAGTTCTTGTCTCGCATTCCAAGAAAACACCCTCGGCCGACGCCTTGTTGTTTGTGCAATGAAACTTTGCAAACCCCTCCCCCACACCAGACACATGCAAACAGAACAAATCGCCCGACGTCTCACTTGCATGCACGTACAGTAATACTTAACCGGCGCATGTAATACTATAGTACAGTAATATCCAACCAATGTCTACCGTTTGAACGCATACAGCGCTGCAGCTCTACCCGAGAGATCACCCCGATTCCTTCTCTTCGACATCTCTCGTATACAAAACAGGGTTGCACACCGCTCGCGTACTGCTACAGTGTGGCACACCATCAAAGCAACCGTGTCTGTACAGAGTTGACATCTTTTGTCAAAGAAAAACGAAGAAAAAAAAAAGAAAGAAAAAAAGAAGAAAAAAATAGGTGGTCCTTTTTGGGGGGGGGGGGGAATAATCGGCGAGTCGACGACGCCGATGGGTCCGAGAGGTTTGTGGGGAAGAGACTGCAACAGCAGGGCTGGCCGAGGCCGATCAGGAAGGGGGAGGACCCTGAAAATTATCACGCTCCCAAGCCCTTAGGAGACTCGCCCCGTTCGTTAGTCAGGTACTTGCGAAGTCGACCCCCCCCCCCTTCTCCTCTCCTCTCTCGGGCAAACGTCTTCGTGATGGTTTCTCGTGTCTCATAACAGAACTTAACAGAAACCGATCACATGATGTGCAAGGCTTCCAGGATTGAGCCACAATTCATTTCATCTTCTCGTTTTGTTAGAGTTAGGTGCTTCGAGGGCTGGGCTTGTCCTGTCGGTGTGTCACCCGCCATGTCATCCACTTCGCCGGGATGGAACCGGCTGAATGTCGTCCGCAAGATGCAGGGTCCTCACTACTCCGTGGGCCGCGGTATGTGTGTACCTCTGGGGCAGGGCTGACTTGACAGAGAGTGTGTGCTTGATGCGCTGTTCATCCCTTGAAGCAGCAGAAAACAGGAGGTACCAGTTCAGCAGATACACGACGATGGCTCGTCTTTTCTAGATTGTATACATGTCTATGTGTGGTGTGTGTGTATACATGTACAGATTACTGTCGGATATATACAGAGTGCTGCCTGCTGCTGCTGCTGCTGCTGCTGCTGCTTCGGTCATTTACTTCTTGTTGGAAGATGTCGCCCACGGATACCGGGCGGGTATGGCCCTTTCACGGACCGTCCGATCTGCATAACCCGCCCAGGAGAGGCCGCTGCGCAAAGTGGCCCCCGCCTCCGCTGTGGGCCATAGGCTGCGCTCGCCCGACGCATCCTCGTCTTCTTCAGGGACGCCCTCCTTGTCTTGGACATCGTTCTCAATGTCACGAGCAGCTAACGCCTCCTCACTGCCACCTGGCGACACCCATGCCACCCTAGACGGCAGCAGCCGTAGCAAGTCACCCACGAGCCTCTGCCCGATGACAAAGGCCAGCTCGGCTTCGAGCGTCAGGCGGCGCACGTTGCTCTTGTCCCCTTGGATCTTGCTGATCCTGTACCGGAGCCAGTGATCAGCTACTTGGCTGATCTCTGCATTGTGCTCCCAGTCCTCGTAGCCGCCTGCCTTGGCTGCATGTGGCATCTCATTCTCTAGCATGCGCACCACGCTGTGGTGCATGGCCCCGATTTTGCCGGGCGACACGTCCCAGGTCATGGCCTCGAGGAGTCTAGTCATCTTAAGCAGCGACTGGTGTTTTAATAGACGCGCCGCCACTCTCTGGTGGTGTCGCTGAAGCTCGTTGAGTTCGGTGATCCCGCAGAGAGCAATCGTCGTCCTCTGTACGGCATGTTCAACGCCCAACATGTAACTGGCGCGATAGATAGCCTTGTGCAGCCGACTCAGCTGGGTTTCGGCCTGCCGTATAAAGAGGGCGGTGGTGAGGAGCCGGATTCTGCCCTTGTCCTGGGGAGATACCGCCGTCACCGCCGAGGACCAAGCCATCTGTGCCCGTTCTTTGGAAAAGGGCCAGCTAGGTGGCTTGCCCATGTTGAGGATTGGGTAGAGCTGCTCAGCCAGCCTCCTTGGACAGTTGCTCCTGAGAATCAACGACACCACGAGCGAAGTATTATCAATGAGCCCTCGGACTAATATGTCCGCTGCAGAGACATCAATCGTGTACAGACATTGCTTCAGCAGGTACGTAAACAACTCCACGCTCGTCCCTACACCCTCCTGAAGGGAGCCGATAAAGACCTTGACGGCGTCCTTGACGCGACCAAAACTCAGCAGCCCCGAGACCAGTGCCTCGTATATGTCCTGACTCCGACCCGGCCGTTCAATAACCCAGTTCGCCTTCAGAGACGTGGTCACTTCAGGTTTGTTTGCCCACTGATGCAAGGCTGGTATCTTGACCACATCCGCATACCACCTGCGCCTTATAAGCAAGCCTCGATTGTCGATGGCCGTCATGCGGCGGATGATGTTGTAGAACCCATGTATATCTTTTTTTTGCCGGTAATGGATCAGGAGGCAGACAATCGTCTGTGTCGTGGGCCGAAGACGGCTGTGTTCCAGAAGCGACTCAGTCACAATGTCCGCGAGGTTGTGCATCTTCTTTCTCATGAAGCCCGCCAGCAAGAGATTATAATGGTGGATGCTCGGCGGGTGGGGGCAGACAAGCAGGTTGTAGCAGATCTTAGCGACCTGGAACTTGGGTTTTGCCGCCTTCCCTTCGTCCCACGTGGCGAAGAGGTTCCGGATCATATCGCCCAGCTGGTCTCGCGATTGCTTACTTCCAGCCGGGTCGACACTCGGATGATTGTATCTTGGGTAGCCTTCTGAGCGGAGCATGCGGATCGCAGTCCAAGCAGAGTCTAAGCTGTTGAGGTTCCGCCGTGCCTTGTCGGGGTCGCCTGGGAGCTCGTCGTAGTAGGACTGCGCGATCAGTCTGTCGACCATGCTGTTGACCATGTCATGGAACTTCTCGAATTGAATGCTCGTCATGGGCTCTCGCTTCTCGAGACTGTCCTCATCTCTTGCTTCCTCCGCCACGGCTGCGTCGACGGCGTCGAGATTTGCACCCAGATAGTCAATATAGCGGTTGCCCAGCTTCTCTTCAGGATCGTAGGTGGAATGTATGTGGCGGAGGAAGATGTAAAGCTGTCGCTTGTGCTGCTGGTGCCGCGCAAGCGAGTCATCCATCTTGCAGATCGAGTTCAACGCCTCGATGGCGCTCATAGGTGCTCGGACGCGCATCACGGGGGACCGCGAGGAAGAGGGCGAGGGCGAGGGACGACGATGGACATAGAGCCGGACCATCGAGGGGGATGTCTCTCGCAGCCGGTCAGAGCCCTGTCGCCCGTGCACGAGCCTCGTTCCCTGCCTCTTTTTATGTTGTTCATCTTTGAAAAGTGTTTCGACTCCGGCGGCGGCGGGGTTGGTAGTGTACGAAGCCGTAAAGACCTGGGTGTGGTGGGGATTGCGCCGGCGGTTGACGGCAGTGGCAGTCCGTCTTATTGCGGTCGTGGTGTCCGAGAAGACGTGTGCGCAGGACCTGCAGGTGCAGATATGAGCATGAGAAGCTCGGGACCAGAGCAGTGGCATGTCGGAGGCATTTCGGAGGGGTGCACCGGCTGCTGGTGGATTGCAAGTCCGTTGGTGGGGTGAGGTTGTTGTCGATGTAGGGTCTTGCGCGATCTCGGTCGAGGCGCGTGCTTCTCCAAAAATTTGGCGTGGTGTGGATGGATCGAGTCCAGGTGAGGGGCGGGGGCTGCAGTAGAATAGGCTTGAAGAAGACCCCCTGACCCTGGGAGAAATACCCCGCCAGACAACTTGTAAGAGCCTTGACTGCTACAGCCATTCTCTTGTGGCCAACCTAAGCAAAGTGCCCGTGCAAGACTTTACTGTCTGCCCCCAAACTTCGAACAAAGTGCAACAACTCTACCATTCTCTGAGTTCAATCTACTGGTTTCTCCTTTGAGCTGATATGTATGCTCTTAGTGTCACCGGCGAGCTGGCCGGGTAAGTCGTTGTGCGGAAGAGCTCATTGCAAAGTACCAAGCTGAAGTTCTTCGCCAGGGTCACCAACCTTCGCCCAGACGACTCTGAGGCGAACCCATTTTGGTACACATTCCAGATCCAGTGTACATCATGCAGAGAAACTCACGCGAACTGGGTTGGCGTGAACCGCTTCGTACGTTGGCCATACCATCACTCCCTCACTCCCTTCGTCTTCTCAGCATCAAGTCTGCTAACGTTGGCTACCAGGAGCAAAATGAGATGAGCGGCAGCCGAGGCGAGGCCAATTTTGTCTTCAGGTGCAAGAACTGCAAGGTGCGCATCTCACAAGATCATGTAGAAGTAATGCTTTGCTAAGAGATATAATGTTTCCCAGCGCGAATCCTCTGCGACCATCAAGGCTGCTCCAGTCGCATATGAGCAGTCTGAGCCGGCGAAGCCCAAGAACATTCTCGAGTTCGACTGCCGCGGACTCGAATTCACCGACTTTAAACCAGATGCAGGTTCCCTATCCCCTGCAATATCTTATACAGAGGGCATGAACTGATTTAGTTTCTTCTATAGGGAGAGTGGCTGGCTGAGGGATTAGAGTCTGGCACCAAGTTCACGAGTATTGATCTGACGGAGGGCGAGTGGTTCGACTATGATGAGAAGGCTGGCGATGAGGTCAGCATCAAGGACCTCAAGTGGGAGATCAAGAGAGCATGAGATATTTATAGGAATAGCACACTGCTACTTATGAGGACGTCATAAGAACAGAGCTTGATCGCTTTGCATATTGCTCTCAGGCTAGAAGCTGTACTGTGCATAGTACAATATATATATAAGAAAAAAATCCCTGAGGATGACATACATAAGATATTGCCTTGCCAGAAGAGGTCGTAGGCAAAACCTACTTTGACGCCCTCTAAACTGTGGTAGAATTGCGCCTGTGATGGTCTACTTTTGAATATTTCGACATATCTGGTAGGGAGGATGAATGACAAAAATTTAGGGGGTCTTACGGCACCACAGCGCTTGTGCAAATACGTTAGGGGGCTGCTAACCAGGTCCACCGAGGCGCCGACTCGCCGAGCCAACGACGACAACCACTGACGAATTTCCAGTGTGCTTAAACACAACATCTTTGGTCTTCTTTTTCTCGTTGGCGACTCGTGTCTACGCCTTCACTACACAGAAACGAGATGCTGTTCCAAGACCTGTCCCCACAGGTTCGTTTTCTGAACGATGCGGCCCATCTTCTCTCTCAAGTCGCACCACAGACATCTGCGTTTCTCATGAGCAGGCGTAGCGAGTTGCTCGTCGAGAACAATGTGCCAATACCTGATATTCATCGTCAACATGTCTGCAGCAGCTGCGGTCACATCCTCATCCCGGGCCAAGGCGACACCCTCAAGATCAGCACAGACAAGGCCTTGAGGTTACGGGCCAAGGGCAACAAGAAGCAGCAGCAGTCCCGGCCTCAGAAGGCACTGGCGACACCAGCTCCTCACGCAGGGCAACGCGCCCGACCTGGTGGCATCTCAAAGGTCATCCTGTGTGCCATGTGCCACAGAGAGACGAAAATCAAGCTGGAAGGCCCGAAGCCCATCTCGCGGTCCAGGAAATTCGCCAACCAGGGAGGAAGAGGACTCCAGCATGTCAAATTGCCGGAAGGCTCGAATGAGCCAATCAAGATGTCGGCGAATGCAAGCAGCAAGAAGCGAGCCAAGAACCGGAAGGCTGGCCTCCAGGCGCTTTTAGGCCAGAAGCAGGCCTCTGCGCCTTCTTCAGGCCTTGGGCTGAGCCTATCTGACTTCCTCAAGAAGTGAAGCAAGCCACTGCAATTATTCGCCCGCCAGTCCTTCAGGGAGCTCCATATGCCCCTGCCTCCTCGTACGCGCCTAGCCTGCCTAGTGAGGATTCAACCCATGCTACTATGACCAAGGCACGCAAAGTTTGACCCAGGGACCGCCAGAAGATTCCTTAAGGTAGTGGCACCCCACCACCCTCCAACTATGACATAAGCCTGTGACTACCCCGCCATCGCCTCTATATCAGCGATTGCGATTCCCCTCCAAAATTTTCGGATCGAGAGGCGCAGAGTCCAAATCAACAACCCTCACGCAACATACTCATAACAACGCAAATTTCGCCATGTCTTCCGATCCACCACAAACAAACGGCATCACCAGCATCTCCTCGTCCGACTACTTCAAGGCCATCGGTCAGCAAGTCGATCAGGTTGCTCCCGCCACCAATGGCGCGGAGCTCCCAACCGACGATGACGATGTGAAGCCTGTCGAGGAGATCGAGTCTCTGTGCATGAACTGCCACGAGAATGTGAGTCTCGTTATTTCCATCTACACCTCACCACTATGGCAGCAACGGCTAACAAATATGCATCAAAAAATAGGGCATGACCCGCCTCCTTCTCACCAAGATCCCTTATTTCCGCGAGATCATCATAATGTCCTTCTCCTGCGAACACTGCGGCTTCCATAACAATGAGATCCAGGCTGCCGGCTCCGTGCAGCCCAAGGGCACCCACTACGAGCTTCGGCCGACTGTCATGGCCGACTTTTCCCGCCAGGTCGTCAAGGCCGACACCGCGACGGTCAAGTTTATCGAGCTTGACCTCGAGATCCCGGCCGGCAAGGGTCAGCTGACTAACGTCGAAGGTCTGCTCTCGAGCGTCGTCGACGACCTCGAGCTGGGTCAGGAGGCCCGCAAGGAACAACAGCCCGAGGTCCACGGCAAGATTGCCGAGATTATCACGCGCGCGCGTGCCATGCTCGCCGGCCAGGCGTTCCCCTTCCGCGTCTACGTCGACGACCCGGCCGGCAACAGCTGGATCGCGCCGGACCTGCGCGACGGCGTGGGCAAGTGGGAGAAGCGCGAGTACGAGCGCACGTCGGAGCAAAACGAGGCGTTGGGGCTGAGCGACACCACAGCTGCCAGCGGCGACGGCTCGATACCTCTGCAGGGGCAGGGACGGCTCGATGACAACGAGGAGATTATACCCGACGAAGTGTACAGCTTCCCGGCCAGCTGCCCCGGCTGCATGCACCCCTGCGTCACGCACATGAAGATGGTGGACATCCCGCACTTTAAGCAAGTTGTGCTGATGAGCACGCTGTGCGACGCGTGTGGATACAAGAGCAACGACGTCAAGACCGGCGGTGCGGTACCGGAGAAGGGCAAGAAGATCAGCCTCAAGGTCTTGACAAGCGAAGACTTGGCGAGAGACATCCTCAAGAGCGAGAGCTGCGCCCTCGAGTGCCCCGAGCTCCAGCTCTCCGTCAACCCGGGCACACTCGGCGGGCGGTTCACCACGGTCGAGGGCCTGCTGACGCAGGTGCGCGACGACCTGCGCAACCAGATCTTCCAGGTGGACGGCCACAGCGGCGAGGGCGGCGACAGCCTCAGCAGCGAGGAGAAGACCCGGTGGACGGCCTTCTTCGAGGGGCTGGACGATGCCACCCAGGGCAGGAAGGAGTTCACCGTCGTGCTGACGGACCCGCTGGCGAGCAGCTACGTCCAGAGCATGGCGGACGACCCGACGCAGCCCGATGCGCAGATGACAGTGGAGGATTACGAGCGCACCGAGGAGGAGGAGGAAGACCTGGGCCTGAAGGACATGAAGGTCGAAGGATATGAGACAGAGGAGAAGAAAGAGGAGGAGGAGCAGCAACAGCAGACGGCTTCATCATGATGGCGGTGGTGGTGGCGGTGGTAGTAGTGGGGATTATTTTGCAGATTTCTCAAGCAATCGTGCAGAAGCACGGGACGGGGCAAAAATGGGGGTTTGTTTGGCCTTAAACTCCTGGAAGTATGGGTAAGCTTGAAAGGGAGTGAGTTGCAGGTATAGATTCCATGATGCATTATAGAGATACCAAGAAAGGAATCAAGAAAAAGTTTGCTGTTTGTCTGGTCAACGTCACTCGTTCGCTCACTGCCTTGCCTCTCTGTCTCTCTCACCATGTCAAATACCTTCTTTGCAACCACAAAAGCACGTAAAATGGATTTCCTGATTACGGCTGACTCCTTTAACATGTGACCTAAGATACCCCTGTCTCGCTATTAGCGATTACATGTATGTTAATTCACCATTAGGGCCAAGATGAGAGGAAGAGGGAGAAGAAGAGAGAGTTTTATTATAAACACAGATTGTGAAATTGACTTGTTGGGTCAGGTCAGACAGACATGGCTAAGCTATCAATCGATCCAACCATCCGCCCAGCCGCCACCACCAGGTTTCCCCAGCAGTTTGCATCCTCCATTAAACGTCGATATCCAGCCGCGGTCGTCTACTGTTCCTCTTTATTCATTTTGTCGTGAGTATCTTTCAGAGTCGCGTCTTGTCTGTTTTTCGCTTTTGCAGATTGCCCCATCTGAGGGGGAAAGAAAAGAAAGCAGAACGTGTCAGCCAGGACAGCCAAGTCCAGTCAGGCCGTCCTGCAAGACAGTGCGCCCTGTCGTCCGTCCAATCTTCCATCCATCATACGTCCCAGCTCCACATGAAACCCCTCCCAAGCAGGTATCCCGTTTGCCGTTACCAAACTTAAGTGTTCAGCCCGCCTGGACGATTCACCCAAGATATCCAGACCCCATCAAGCAAACCGCGCATGAGGTAACAAGGTCCACAGCTGACCATCGCGAGGTTGAGTGTGAAAGGGGACCGCCAGAGAGCGATGTCAAGTGGTAACGTACCCTATTAAGCCAGATAACCTCCGGCCGCTGGTTTAGAGAAGATGAGAGAACAGGCAGGTTCTGTTCCGCCCAACAAAACCCATCCATGCAGCAAATTCTGCCCCCTTTTTTTCACTCCTTCTTCGTCTTACTCGTACAGTGTGTATCAGGGAACGATTCATTCTTTGACAACTGTGTTGCTTCTGGAAAAACACAGGTCCAGAGGGTTGCAAAAAGCCCAATAGACCGACAAAACAGCGACAAAAAGAGAGAGAAAAGGAAGAAAATAGTACAGCAAAAAAAAGAGAGACGCCGGTTGAGGGGTATTATCTCCAGAAGCCACAACGCCAAGGAAGGTGAGGCCGTTACGAGGAAACAGGAACATTATAGTCTGAAGGGGGGGGGGGGGAGGGAAAGGGAAAAAAGACCGATTTGGATCTTGGCGAAGACAGTTCGACGCATCAACACGGCAGCGTCTTTAGATGAAAGTTGGCTTAGTCAGGACACGGTACTCGACGTAATCCTCGCCGTCGATGCTGATGATGGCACCCTGGGAGACAAGCTTGCCGGCGAATGGCCCGTTGCGCTTGCGCTCGTACTTGACGCCCATGTGGATCTTGGCATCCTCATTGCCTGTACGGATGCGGTGGGCCTCTTGGGCAGACCAGACGTTGTTGAGGCGGCCGATGCTCTCGCGGAAGGCGTCTCCACCTTGGGCGGGAGGGCCGCCGCCATCATTAGGGCCACTGGGACCTCCATGAGGGCCGCCGCTGGGTGGGCCCCTGTGAGCATCACGCTCCTCGACCTTGGCCTGGGTTGCCTCGATTCGAGAGACGGCATTGAGGGCGAGGCTGCTGGCCCGCTCAAGGCGAGGATCGACAGTGTGCGACGAAGAAGAGCGGTTGGCGGCGCGGAAGGAAGGCGTCTGTGGGGACGAGCCAGGGCGAGTGCCAGGGGGGTTGGGGTAAATGGGAGGACCGCCGCTGCGGCGGGCAATGGCACGACGAGTCTCGTGGGCCGGAGCCTCGTGGTGAGCGCCTGAAGCGGGGGAGACACCGGCGGCGGCGGCGTCGGTGAAGTGGTTCTGGTTCTGGCCAGCACTGTGGGCGTGGTTCTGGTTGTGGCTGCTGGCTGCACTCACGCCGTTGGGCTTGGAAGTCGACTTGCTGAGGCCGGCAGCAGTGCGGCGACGTGCCTCTGTGATGGCCTGCTTGCGATTCTCGGCAACATCGTCCGGGCGCTCGCCGTGATCGATTTGCCACTGGCGGACACGGCAGTACTCCTTGATTTCCTCGCGGGACAGGTCGGCAATATAGTCCTCGCGCTCCCACTGGTGAGAGTTGATCCACAGGGCACCAGCACCCTGGGGAAAGTTGCTCTGCATGGCACGTCCATCACGGGTCTCCCTGCCCACCTTGACGCGGAACATGTCGTTGTTGCCGAGGATGCCAAAGACTGCATGCTTGTCCTTCAAGAGAGGCTCGGCAGACTCCTTCCAATACCCGAGGAGGATCTTGGTGGGCCGATGACCAGGCAGGTCGTCGGGGACTGGGTGCGTCGAGGGCGCCGGCTGCACGGGCTGATATGTCGGGGCGATCCGGGCGGGCAGCACGGGCTGGTTATTGGACGGAAGGACCGGGGTTTCCGGGGTAGTGGGCGACATGCCGCTGTGGCCGGTACGACGGCGCTTCCAGCCCATACGAGCGTGCTCAGGGACGGCGGCGCCATAGGCAATGAGCGGCTGCACACCACTCTCGGGCAGCGGACCACGGCTCTGACAGATCTGGATGGCCTGTTGCACGGCGCTCTTGTCGTTGGCCCTGGCTTCCTCTTCGGTTTCTTGGGAGGACATCTCGGCACGAACCTTGACATACTCCTTGACCTGCTGTTGGTCGAGGTGCACCAGGTGGTCGTCAAAGACGATGTTCTGAAAGGTCACCCAGCTAGCCCCCGGGCCGGGCTTCAACGGGTACTTGTTTGCAACACTCTTGCCATCGCGGTTCATGGGCTGAACACGTGTGCGAAGTCGGTCGCGGGAGTCGATGAAGCCCTTGACTACGTGCTTGTCACCATCGGCGGCGTCGGAGTCGCGCCAGTGACCAAGGATGACGCCCTTGGTGTTGGTAACGTTGTTGTTGACATTGCTATCGGCAGTAGTCCTGGACGGAGTGGCTGTGGCGGGCACGGGCGTGGCGGGCTCGTCGATGCTGTCATCCAGAATAGACCTGTCCAGCTTCTCCTCGGCCAGGTCGTCGTACAACGAGGCACGTTTGCGCTTGGGGCGTTGCTCGGGCTCCTGGGCACCGTTTCCGTCGACTGCAGGACTCTCGTGGTCGACATCTATCGCCTCGCCACTGTCGCCCTTGCCAACAGCGCCGGTGACGGTGGCGGCGGCAACAGAAGCAGCAGCAGCCGCGGCGGCGGAAGCAGGAGTATCGGATCCAGTAGACTTGCCCTTCACAGATTTGACGACAATCTCGTCCTCAGGACCCTCGTTCGGAGCCTCTGAGTTGAGGCTCAAGCTATCAGGGGGCGGGCTCAGCAGGATGGACTCGGCATCGTCAGGAGTTGCCTCGTGCTCGTTGACGACACGAGCGGTAGTGGTAGCGGTAGCAGCAGGACCAGCAGGACCATTGTCAACCTTGGGGGTAGACATCCTGAGCTCAGTGGACTTCTTACTGTGCTCCTTGGTGGCGTCGGTGGGGGTGCCATTAGAAGCCTCCTCCTTCTTTTTCTTGTCGTCCTCTACGGATGCATCGACTGGTTTCTCCATCGCGCTGGATCCACACTACCAGTCAGTTTTGCTGAAGACGTACTGAGGGTTTTGAAAGGTTGGAGACGAAAAGGAGAAGAACGCGAGGGGAGAGGAAAGACCGAGAGCATCGAACAAGGGGGGGAAAGAGCGATGGTAGCGAATTCTCTGAGGACAAGTCAACCCCGTTGGAAAAAGGGTGGCAAGTGACTTCGAGAAGTCTACACACCTTGCACCAATGATCCTTCCTGACACTTGTGGAAGTAGATCTCAGAATTCAGGAGGCACTTGACATGAGGTTCACTCTTCGCAATCCAGACGACATGACTCTTGTAGTCTTGATGTTGCATTCATAAATATGTGGATGTGTGTGTTGAGATTGGAGGAAGGAGGGAGAGGGGGCCGGGCCTAGGAGGGAGCAACGCAAGGGTAATCAGGTCTGGGAGTCGGGTCTTTAGGCGAAGCCATCGACAGACACATCAACACATCAACAAGAACGCTTGCGCTAAAAATGCCAAAAAAGGGTTGACCAACACTAACCCTTGCTTCTCCTTTTGGGGTTGCCGCCCATATGGAACAGTAGAAGGCATTGTGAATAAGTGTCACTCTGAGTTCCTTTTCAGGTTGCATCTGTGTTGTGGTGGTGGTGAGGCGGGGATTGGAACTGTAGCCAGCGCAGTTGAACCAGTCGAGCTTGGTGCGAGAGCCAGCTAGCTGAGCTGAGCATGACACAATGACACACATGATTGCTTGAGAGGGAAGGTTGTGTGCCCAGGCCCCAGTGTCTTGTCGCTAGAAGGTAGCTTCAGGGCCAAACCCCGCCATCAAGCTAAGGCAGGGTTGAGAGCCACCAAGAATCGAGATCCAGGAGGAGGGGTGACCAAGTATGATGTGCAGAGTGGTGCTGTATGGCACTGGCCAGTTGTACAAAGTCATGACAAAATGGCTGTGCCTGATGGTGGTGATGGTGGTGTGATAGTGGTGATTGCTCTTGGTCCTTGTTGCGGTGCAGCACACAGTGAGTCTTTGCCAGCCCCCAAAGGTCTACTAGTATACTGCCTCACTTGAGTCAAGGTATTTGTTTTTCTCACCGTGGCTTATCAATTCCATCGGGCATCCAGTGCCGACTTCAGGTAAAAAGGAAACCTCGATAAGGTAGGATGCGTCCAGATGAGCACACAAGGGAGAAACTGGTGAGGTACGAAGGGGGAAGAAGAGAAGAGAAAAGTTGTGGGCTCAGGATTGGAATTGCCAAATACAGCCAGCTTGGTCAATGGTGATGACGACGATGACGATGAGGATGAGGATTGATGATGATGAAGCGCAATGACAATGGCAATGGATGATGTCTTTTTTGAGACAAGAAGAGCCGCTGCCGAGATAGGCTAAAGAGACATGCGAGACTTGAGAGACAGCAAGGAAAATGGAACATTGCTTACGTCTCGGGTGGTTCGACCTTGGGCGCGACTTGGGCATACTTGTGCTCGTTGTCGTTGTCAACATGAAGATTAAACCGCGCCTGGGTAGTGGGCTTGGGGCTAATGGTATCGGTCTTCTTTCTTTCCCGGGCCTCGCTGTGGTTTGCGGAGACCGAGGTGTTGTGTGAGGCGACGGGCGTCAGACCTTTCGGGGGAGACTCGACAATATGAACGTTGGCGGAGACGCTCCGGGGGGTCTCCATGATTGTTGTATTGTCGGTGTCGGCTTCCATGGGTGATTTTGATTTTCAGTTTCAGCTTCCGGCGCTATCAGATACACTCACTGCCCCGAGAGGGGGGGGGGGGGTCCCAAGGGTAAGCTTTTTGGTGTGTATGTGCTTGAGAGAGAGGTGTGGTCGCGCGGTTGACACAACAGTGCAGGATCAAAAGAGGCAGGTCGCGAAGACTCCGATCCGCGCAAAATTAGAAGGAAAAAAGGAAAAGGGGTGGATACAACAAAAAACAGATGCTTATTGCAAGTCTTAGACCAAGTCTACGCGAGAGGAGAGAGAGACACACACAGACAGAGAAAGAGACAGATTTGTGTGGTGTGATGTTGGGTGTGTTGGAAATTGGGGGGGTGGTCTCCTCGTGTTGATGAATAGGAAGTAGATTGTGGGAAGAACGGAGAGAGGTTGACCACGAATTGAAAGGCCTCGAAGTCAAAGTAGTAGAGAAGGGCCGGGGGGGAGGGCCTAGGCTTAGAGGATAAGAAGGGAAGTGCAGGGGATACTTCTTGTGGTCGAAACGTTAATCAGCGAGAGGTTTCAACGCAACGTTTAGCGCGGAGACACCTGAACTACGCCCTTGCCCTCATGCATAAAAATAATAACAGAAAGGGAAAGAGTGAGGGAGAGATAGAAAGAGAGAGAGAGAGAGTCAGACGGCGGTCGGTCCAACAGAAGACCAACCAACTACCTGGACTATAACTCTCTCCTCTACAAGTACATATTAGCCTGAACCGTTATCTTCCCTCCCTTGACACACAAGTCAATCCCTTGGTTGGGAAGAGAGTAAGAAGGACACTTTGGACTAATCTTCGTATTCGGACCAGAAGAGGGACTGGACTTGATTTCAATCTCTGCCAATGTGTACTATGTAATCTCATCTCTTCTTTCACAAGTAATGCATCCATGTTTTGCACCAGTGACCACCACCACCCACGGGCAGCAGCTGAACCGTAAGGTTACTTCTCCTTACCCAATCTAGTTGCTTCTATCTGTCACACCGTCTCAGCGGCATCCCAGCTTGACCAAGGTTCGGAGCTGGACTAGAGACCTGAGTGTTATTGGTAGAGGTCACCAATGCCCGGTGCCCTTGTGTGGGGGTGCGCTAATCATGATTAGGATCTCCCTCTCAAGTTTCAAAAGCTCTCTCTCTCTCTCTCTCTCTCTCTCTCTCTCTCTCTCTCTCTCTCTCTCTCTCTCTCTCTCTCTCTCTTTTCCTCGGCACAGCGAACCGACTGCGACCACCAAAACGGAAAGAAGGGAGAAGAGGGGAAAGACTACCAAACTCCTCGAGAAGTGAACATGATAAAAATAAAAGTGAAATCCATGCTCTATGCTGTGTTCATGCAACTACATGACAAGGGCTGTCGCCATCAGCAGCATCGGATTGGAGAACAATGCGCCTTGACATCATCGGTGGTTATAGTGCTTTTGATTTCATTTGTCCGCAGGTGGCGAACCACACTGCAGTGTGGAATGGAAAGACAAGAAAAACGCCTGTGGGCACTTGGCCAGATGGAACCAACCAACCAACCCACCAACCCCCATTTGACCTTGTTCCCAGGCACTCATGCCACACCACCATCCACTACCACCCACCACTTATCCACCATCTGGTTGCCCTTCTGCCAGGATCCCCCGATACTCTCTCAACCAATTCACTTGTCACAGAGAACTTTTTATCTTCTTTTGGCATTTGGGTCTTCCTTTTACATCATGTCATCTGTATCATTAATCAGTAAGATTTCTCCAGTAAAAGGGGTCAAGTAGTCGTGCGTCGGATTACATTTAGGTTGGCTTGGCACTGGAGGAGAGAGAATCAAGACGAACACAACCATCCTCATTGAGACAACTGATACGGTGACACAAGAATAAAGTGAACTTTTTTGGAAGTTCCACCCCCTTACCAAAAGTGCCTAGACCCCTCGCCGTCCTCCCCCCCCTCCAAATTGAATCCCGAAATTAAGTTTGCACATAGATGATCAAGAAATCAGCAGGTCAGCCCAGAAGGACAAGCAAAAAACAAGAAAAATCTTCGTACTTTCTTGTCCACTAAATTGAGTGGAAATTACATTCACATAAGACATTGCCATTTTTTCTTCTTCTTTTTTTCTTATTAGGTTGCTTATCTTCCGATTAGGCCCGGCATTCCAATCTTGCTGTAAAGTACTTAAATGTGGAGCGGCCCCGACGTCCAGCTCGGCCGAGTGAACTGTACTTGATGTTACAGGCACGCGCGATGGAAGGAAATGATCAGCAGCTGCCTTGGGAAGAGACAGAGGTGAGGGAGAGAGTGCATTGGGGTCTTTTTGTCATCTCATATGCCCTCTCCCACTCCTCTGAGACGAGAGTTTCGGTCTGTGGACGGGGGGGGAAAAAGAGAAAAAGAAGGGTTGGTCAAACTTTTGGTATGGTGCCATCAAACACACTATCCGCTTAGATTAAGACACTCGGTAAAGGTAAGACAAACAATCCCCCCCCCCCCCCCCCAATACGCAATATTGATGCAAATTTCACCTTTTACCGGGATCGGCCCACTAAAAGCCCCCCGAATTCTTGATTCAACTAAACTTGGTTCAGCGATCGGTGGAACTTTGGTGTTCTAGCTTGGGCAAAAAAAACATGTGTTGTCCACATGCACACACTGCCTTTTCTGAAAATACTTGACATGTGGACTTTGTCGTAATTAAATATAGATTAGGTGGATGTTAGCTCAGGTGCAATGAATTACGTGGACCTCTTCTTCCCCCCTTCTCGATTGAGTGGGAACGGGGCTTCGTCTTGAACCTGATGGATTTATCTCTCGTAATTAAATTATATAGGGAACATGTGGCCCCAGTACAATCAACTACAATATGTATGTGGTACTGTACAATCTGACATGTGCTCCCAAAACACCCGGCACTGCAACTGAACCGCAATATGCTTACTGGGTTTGCCACCAACTAACTAAACTATGAAGTAACCTAGCTGCCGCGCAATACACAAACGCGCCCATGTGACAGGCAAACCTGTGAAAAAGGACAAGTGTTCATTGAGGAAATGCCCTGGCCATTGGATCTTATCTCTCTAGCCTACGTTTGTGGGATCATGGCCGAACCTCAATCGCGCACATAGAGCCGTGGAACCAAAAAAAAAAAAAAAAAAAAAAAAAAAAAAAAAGAAGCCTTTGTGCAACGGGACGAAGAGCAACACTCGTTGGTTCTTTAGAAAGTAACCTGGCTTGATGAGAAACCCTGTGTGGCCCACGCAGCTGGGAACATCGATTATATCGTGAGAACAGACTCACCAAGTAGATACCACAGTAGGCAGAGAACAGCCACAGCAAAGCATGGCAAGTCGGAATGGCCTGCAAAGATAACAGACAGAATCTAGCCTGCTCATACGCTCTGCCAGCTGTTCATATGGCCTAATACTTGGCCCATTAGACCGATGTTGATGTGGCTGGCAGCAAGGCTCTTCCTCAACCTCCTCTGCCGCCCCCTCTCCCTCCGCGGCCTCGTGATCCACGGCCCCTGCCTCCTCTCCCACCACCACCACCCTTTCCGCCGCGCTTACCACCCCTCGGACCTCTCGCAGAGTCGAAGTTCGGGTACAGCGGCTCCTGCCCAAAGGCACCCTCCGCAATCCGCAGATAGTTCGTCACGCCATGGTCCACGACAGCAACAAGAAGATGCCGATGCCCGTGCTTCAGCCGCTGGTGCACTACATGCCCTTTCATTCGTTCTGGGGGCGGCGCGTACGGCACCGAGTCCAGTAACGCGGTGACCTCCTCTCCCGTCGGCACGTAGGTGTCGTGGGCGTCGACAATGGCGAGGTGGTAGTCTGGTGGCGTGGGCGGCTTGGTCTTGGACCAGCCAGGTGTGCCGGGCCGCCAGATGTGATACTGAACGCGGAAAGGTGAGTCCTGAGTGGCGGAGGGGTGTGCTGGGGGGTGGGGTGTTGGTCTGTGCCTCGGGATGAGGGCGAGTTGTTTGTAGATGGGGGCGTATGAGCGATAGAGGCCTGGCCGGACGAGAGGGCCATACGCCGGGTAAGCTGGCTCTCGTTCAGGAAAGAGGAGTGACAAGAGCCGTTGCCAGAGGGATTGTGCAGGCTCATCGACAGTCGGGACGGTGGTAGAGTGTGGTATCGTGTCTGGTGGCGGAACGCGGATGACGTTGAAGCCTGCGCGGTTGAGATTCGAGAAGACCTGGAGGTTGCGCAGCGTAACCTTGCCTCGCTCGCCCTCTTCACCCACGAGCAGAGCGTATGCGGCCTGCAGGCTGAGCGGGTAGCCAAGCGCGTACTCATCCTCTTCCTCGAGGTCTCTGACGGAGAAGATCTCGGCCATCGACGCAGTCGGCCACCAGAGATCCAGCGTGCCCCTCTCGATCAGGAACAGCGCCTCCTCCGGCAGCAGCCAGACCTGGTCCCAGCCTGGAACCTGCGTGCCCTGTCCTCGTATCTTCCTGCCCAGCGTCCGGTGTTCCAGCCCCATACACACCACCCGGTCCCGAGCATGTATCTCCTTGCGCGCCGCCGCCTTCTCCCGCGCGATCTTCAGCGCCTTCTCGTCATCGATTCCCTCCCGCTCCGCCTTCTCCGCCTGCTCCTCGCCCTCCTCGCCCGCCGTGGCCCACCGCTCCGGAAAGTACCAGCCCCTCACCCAGTCCTTGCCCGGGTTGTGCAGCCGCGTGTAGCTCAAGACGTCCTCCATCGCGCGGCGGCTCGTCTCGAGCGCGCTGGCCTGCGAGCGCGTGCCATGGCTCTCAAAGTCCTTCTCGCCCTTGCGTATCGCTTGTGCTGAGATGCTCTTGCGCTGGAGGGATGCGAACTGCGCAAAGTCTTGCGCCTCGTCCTCGAGGGCCTCGTCCGCTGTGTCCTGGGCTTGCTCGGGATTCTGGGGCGCTGGCGGCTGCTTATTTAAATCGTCATCGTCGTCAAACGTCATGATCGAGGACAGGTGTCGCTGGAGAGCGTAGGAGGGGTAGGGGGAGGAGGTTGTACTGAGAGGTGTCGCGGGCGTTTCTGTCGTTGAAGGGTATTGCGACTTGGAGGGGCAGGTCTGCGGTAGGCCAAAAATTCAGGCAGCCGAGGGGGGGGCTAGCGCTAGAGGGGGCCGGCGCCGGGGGGCTGCAATGCTAACTTACACCATGTTGGTCAATGAATAGAAAATCTCTCCAGCGTAACTTGGAAATCATATAAGAAGGGGGCGACATAATCTGGAAATTTTATAGTTTGAAGTTCCACTACAATATTACATGAATATCAGCTATTTGTCCCACCTTGCGGCCCTGGCGGGTTCAGGGAAATCATCCTTAGGTTGAGAGTAGAACCACTCTCTTCTTCATTGTTGCATAGCTTCATGTGTTTCCATTTGCCGAGAACGTGAATGAGAATCCATGTGACTTTCTGCATATTGGAAATGTACAACGTAGCTTGCGCTTGGAGTCATAGTTCAGTATATGTGATGGCAAAAGAAAGTGCTGAGGATTCGTGTTGCCATCAGACCAAGAAGGAAAGAGGTTTCCTGTTGGAAGTGGAAAATGAGAAGGATAATATTTATTCCATGTCCTGGATATTGAATTATATATAAATCCTGCTAATCAGATCCCAATTTTGGAAGCAGCACAATTTCTCGTCGTCAATACTGTGAAACCGCCATGCCTCATTCTCCAAGCTCAATTGGTCTTTAGACCCTTCGCTGCCTTGCTCAATTCTCCTGCTGCAGAGAGTATGGTGTCGTCTTTCCTCCGCTGGTTTTCAAACCATAGGGAAGCAGCGGCTGTACATAAGTCTTCCAGATAACTCTCTTATGCCATTATCAAGCAAAAACGGAACTCGAGACTATTATGTAGACAAGTAGAATCAGGATGCCGATGGTGATAACCAATGGGTACATCGGCCACAACCAGCGGAATTGCATGCAGATATCGATCTCCAACACGGTACCCATGACCACCAGGATGGAATTTCCCCAGTCCGTGCAGTGTGTGCGCAGCTGGCTCATGAGTTAGTCAAGCCCTCGACCCATGGAAGTGCTGATGGTCTTCGCTGAAGCCTCCCGCTTTCGAATATATCGCTGAGCCACCACGCATAGTTGCACGTCATGGATGTGTAATTAGTTTCTCGCCTAGTAGCCAGATCTTACTTCTACGGTGTCGGTATCCTGCACATTTTGGGCTTTATGCAACTGAATTGAAAGAACTCTAATGTGAGCTAGGGGGGGGGGGGGGAGCAATAGTTGAGCTACATGGGTATTACTTCAAGTAAGTACGTACCAGAGTAATGTGCTTTCAGTCTTAACTCCCTCTTTCGGAGCATTCAGCTGGTATATGTCGAAACCTCTTGAAAAAATCTGGTAAGGTTATTATATAATTATAAAATATGGAAACAAGGCTTGTTCAAGTTTTCAGTATCTGTAGTAGAAACGGCTCTGTCGTAAACGAACACAGCTATGGAAATTCCTTATAAAATGATACGTTAACACTTCTTAAATAGAATGTTAGTGATAAGGTGCGTGTGTCACCCCTTTGCACAAGTACATGACCTTTATATAGAAAACCAGAAAAAAAAACCTATTTCTGTACTACATGTATTGAGTTTTCGCTGGGAAAGCAGATGGCACTTAACGCTGCTCAACGGGCCGAATAACTTGAACAAAACCATCGTCGGAGATGATAGCTACCTTTTTCCTGCAAGATGAACAGTAGACATGGTGATTCTCGAACCAGCCACACGCACAAGGGAGACAAGCCGCACAAACACAGATCAAGCACAACAGAACGCCCACGACGCTAACAACATACGTCAGTACCTAAGCATGCTTCTCATACATCCAACACGATAACCGAACGACATAATAAGCACTTACGCTTGCATCGAAGTGCCTTCCGCGGTAACCGAGGTCATTGTGCATCGATGGCAGTAAGGACAGTCTATTTGCGCCGGTTTCGTAGTCAATTGTTCCAGCGGCGTGACCATTAACTGGGCGCTATTCGGAACAATCATCTGCTGCACTTGCTTCTCTTCGGAACGAGGGCTTGCTGTTGCGAGGTCTTCATGTCTAGAATGCATGTATAAGCCAAATGTGTAAACAACACTTGTATTCTTTGCCAGTGTTTGTGTACCTTGGCCTCTCTTCAATTTGGATGTCGGAATGACTTGGCAGGACTTTCGCTGCTTCTGACGCCTCTCTTTCGCCCTCCGAGTGTGCATCGGAACGGGGCTGGGACTCGACAGCCGGCGGGAGAGAGGAGGAGCTCTTACTACCAGGAGGCAATGTTGACTTGGTTGTCGTGACTCCTTCATCCTGAGGCTCGGGATTTTCGGCTGAAGACATGGCGTCGATATGGTGAGTAAATTTTTGGTGATCTAGGACTGCAAGCTACTATTCAGATGAAAAGACTTGCATGAATACATTGAAAGAGGCGACACGAGGACTTATATCACTCTCACAAAGCTCGGTATATAAGCCAGGTGGTTCATCGGGGCTATTTGTGTACTCAAGGTTTTGTTATACGGATTGAAAAGTGGAAAAAGGTACGTTGCAGTAAGATGTGCTACATGTTCGTATGCAGTCAGCAGACCTTTGGGGTCCCAACCAAAATCATGGAACGCTTCGTATGAGGATGATATTATCTAGCGCAATAGTTGGCGGGGGCTGGTCTATGAGATATCTGCTAAATTCGTAGGAAGTGGAATGTAATCCCGTATTGAATCTTCCAACTGGCCAGCGTCCTTAGGCAGCAGAATACGCCGCACCTCGTTGTGCAGGGGTTTGGGAGCCGAATACAATTACGAAGGAGTATAGGTAAGGGTAATGTTATGTGGCACGGTCTTTTTATAGCTAACATGTACGACATCTGCTGAGATCTCAATCGAAGAACAGTGAAATGTCAACTCGCATTCCCCAACCAGATTCCTTCACTGCTTGTTTCGGCAGCAAGAATATCGAAAGTCTTAAGAGAACATAATCCTGAGTGCTGGATCCTTGGACCTTGATTGCGCTTTTCCACGTCAACCTGCATCTAAATGATCGATTTGAAACAACTTTAAAGTCAAAGTAACTAAGAAGAGACATGGAGAACAAGGAAAGGGAACGGTCAAATGAAAAAGGGAAAAAAGAAAAATTGACAAGAGCAGGATTCGAACATGCGCTTCACAAGTGAAATTGCGGTAGAACTGTTTAGATAGCCTAAACGCAACGCCTTAGACCACTCGGCCATCTTGCCAAGGTTATTCATCAATATCTTGTCAAAATTGTATATAGACATATTTTGATTAGTCTGCAAAGACTGGAACCTGTTGATCACTATTCCTATGCTCGCTTTTTCTATACATCTACCAAGCAAAGTATACCCTAAAGGAAGAAGGGAAAAAGGAAAGGGACATGAAGATGGAGGAAGGAGCAACAAGAAGCATTCATTATTGCGGGAGCGAATTGGCAGGTGGCTTCAATTTTCTTTTTTGAGATACACTTTCAACTATCCATCGTAGCTTTGTGGGTGTGTTGTACACAGAAGGCAACCTCACTCTTCTCCTTCTCGTTACGCCGGATGAATAGGGCGGTGCGAGACGCCATCGCACATAGGACAAATGAACGGTCCATCTGGTTGCTATGGGAGTTCATTCAGCCCGGAGCATTCTTCAAATCTGGTACAGTCTGGAGAGACACTACTCAGTGCCAACAATGTGGACCATATGATCTGAACTGCGAGCTTCCCAAGCCACCTGGTAATCGTCCTTGACCCTTTGTTTCACCCACGTAGGCAGGACGCCTGTGCCGGACACCAGGAGTCCTCATAACAACCCAATTGGGGGGGACCGGGAAGACGCTGTCATGGCGCGTCACTGTATGCCTGTCTCAGGCACTCCGCTCATGGCTGAGAACGTGTCATTCACAGCAGCAATGCCGGCTAGCCCTCATCCCTCACACGCATCCGTGGAAGGGCTGCTTGCAGTCATCCTCTCTCCCTCTTTTTCCCCTAATGCTCTTTGGCTGAGCAAGTGGTTTTTTCTCTCTCGTCAACCGGCCAGCGGGTTTGCATGTATTGTGATCTTCTCTATCCTTGGCTGCTCCTTCGGCCTGCTCTTCTTATCAACCTCAAGCGCCTCAATTTTAGCCAAGGTGGCCAGACTGTCATCGCCAATCACCTTGCCAAACACCGTATTCAATCCATCCAAGTGTGGTGCCTTGTCAAAGAGTATGAAGAACTGAGAACCGTTGGTTGCCGGTCCTTTATTCGCCATGGAGACGATGCCGCGCTCCGAGTGCTTGAGGGTGGGCCTGATCTCGTCCTCGAAGGTGCCGCCCCAGATGGACCGCCCACCCTTTGGGTTCACGGGCGGCGAGGGATTGGCGGGTGCACCGGTCTGTACCATGAAGGAAGGGATGAGTCGGTGGAAGGGGGAGGCGTCGTAGTAGTGGGATGCACAGAGGGCGAGGAAGTTCTGGCGAAGGGATGATGCGGTTCCAGGTTAGCAAAACTGCGCCAGAGTGAAGCGTGGACATCGCTCGGGAAAAGGGGGCGAGAGGGACACACCTCTGCGGTCTTAGGCACGCTCTCGCAGAATATCTCTATCTTGAGATCGCCAAGGGTTGTATGCTGGTCGACAACGCGTGTTAGCATTTGCTTTTTATGCGCAGTGCCAGACGGCGGAGGAGCTGGGGGCCGCTGTTGTGGTTGAAAGGCTCTTGCGACAGCTCCGTCGCAGCGTCTAGCACGCAGCGCACCATTTCAGAAGAGAGGGAGATCAAGATAATAGTCTAACTTACCAGCGTGACCGACATGTTGGCTACTTGTGTTGAGTGGACGGGCGTTATGCTGTCATGTTTGGATGTTCAGCATGGGAATTTTGCGCTCTGGAGGGGCAGCATTCTGGGTCTGGGCCTGACCTCGAAATGTTTCCAGGCGACGGGCGACTTGGAGCTGCCCCTGTCGTTTCAGTAACATGTGATTGGGCCGTTGGAGACCCCCCCCCCCTCTTACTGCAATGCTACTGGTACGTACTGTACTATACGCGGCTAGCATACTAGTAGTACCCGGCAGACGGGACACGCGAGCATTCCACAGCCCCGAGAGCGTGGCCATATCTGTTTGGATCGTCAGTCATGTTGATCAAATTCCCGTTGCGTCATTGATTCAAACCCCTGTCAAGCCCTGCAAGCCGAGGATTTCTCTTGTGGAGAGAGGGTCTGGTGGATGAATGCGGCGTTCTGGGGTATTGGCACTGTTTAACAAGGTCTCAACAGGGGCTGCCGGCAGTCTATCGCCCCGCCACGGGCCCAACTGTAAGTCATCAACTGGTTAATCATGACGGACTGAAGGGAGGGGGGCCAAATGCGGCTCGTACAGGTGTGGGTGTTGAATGGATGTGGGTGCTGATCAGTGATAGGGCTGTGGTGACATGCATGTTGTTGCATATGTGGGCAGTAGTAGTCGTAGTAATAGTAGTAGTGGTATCGTAATATTGTACAGTAGTAGTTCACTAGTCGGTAAGCTCTTTTGAGAGGCCTCAGCAGACTTACAAAGCCCGAGGCAGTTGCCAGTACCCAGCCCCTCCCTGCATCCCTACTTACAGAGCTGACATGTCTTGCCTACTGCTGTTATTTATTGCTAGGAGAGGTTGCCAGATGCACCTTCTATTTGATGCGATGACCATCCCCCCTCCCCCCCGGCCCACGGTCTGAAAAAGGCAGGGGACTTCCTAGCGTAGATCCTCGTTGCTAGCGTCAACAACCAGCGTCGTCCAGGGAAACCTTTCCCCCGTCCTCGTCGTCCTCCACCTCGGCCATATTTTGTGATTACTCCGTATTGTTGCGGTGCCCATAAGCGAGCAGCAAGCATCGATTGTTGTTTTTGATGCCATCTCTCTACCTGTCCTATCCTGTTACCTCTATCTTGCCCTGTAGCTCATCGCTCTGACCAACTCGACCTCCTCAATTTGAGATATCACAGTACTGCTTTACTGCATAGTAGTTTGCTTCTGTAAGTGAAACCCTTTGACCATGATCTGCTGTGGGTCCTGTCCTCCTGCTTCTCTCTGATGTGCATCGAACCATCTTCGAATTCCATGTCCCATGGTACGCTACACATACATGAGATTTGGCACTTTGTTCAGGTTGCGCCGGGCTCCGTCTGACCCTCAAGTCCGCCATCCTCGGTCCAGCTGATGACCATGGGATCGCCCTGATACAAATGGGAGCCAGGCCAAATAACAATTTGTGCTGACAGGTGCGGTATTTCCGCCGACTGCGAGCACTTCTTCCAGCATTATAGGTTGCTTCTCAAGGATCCCAATCCCCAATCTCGACTGCACGCAGACGCAATCCTTTGCCGACATCCCTCCAGGCCATGCCAGCCTGACTTGCCCAATAGGATCCTCAGTGCGACAGCCAACACACTCGTTCAACCTGGACCCTGTTCATAACACTTGCAGTCACCCGCTGCGGCCGCCTGAGCAAAACCTCAGCAAACATATACATTGTAGTACAGGCCGGTGGTGTACATGTGCACCTTACTGGGTGTGTATTCGAACCTCTTTTTCTGAGCTGCGTTGGTGGAGTGGAGCGCAGTGGAGAGTGGAGTGGACAGAGGTGGGGACGCCTGTGTAGCCAAGCACCTAAGGCGCGCACCCTCGTAGCACCACCACAGTACTGCCTCCAGCTGCATACAGCTTACCAGGCTGGCCAGGGACCTTGGAGCTCCAAGAACGTACGGACTAAGGCAGGACTACTCTCACCTGGGGCCCTCCCGACCGCTAAACTTCGATTCCTGGGCATTTGTCGAGACATACCTGATCACCCTTTTCCTCAACCACCGGCTGGCCCTGCTTCCCAACGCCCTGCGAGAACCGCAACAACGGGATATCCTCCGATTGTGACACGACGAGGTGGCAGGCTGGCAGCCCGCACTACCCCCCTGCGGCCCTGACCCTCTCCCATCGGGCCTTTGCTTGACCTGCATGCAGCCCAAAGTCCTAGACGATCTCACCCACATGAGCGAGTCACCACGACTCCTCACTTCTGACCTGAACCTCTGCGCGAACTTGACCGCGCCACCTCCCACGCTCTCTAGCGACGACATCCGTGAACTATACGTCGAACTGAGCTCCTCCTACTTCCTTTCACAGCGCGGCGTCCCCAGGATCACCCACGTCCATTCTTGCGCCAGTGACCCGAACAAGATCAAGAGGCTGGCTGGCTGCGCTGCCCGTCTTGGCCAGTAACCCCACACCGTCCCCCGGCTGCAACCACCGCCTAGACAGCCTCGAGGCGGCGAGGCCCGCAATCGCCCGCCGTCCACGTCTATGATCCTCTCTGCGCCGATTTCCCTACACATCCACGCCGCGCTCCGCCTGCAACTCTTCTCCGCAGCTTTGCGACCACCATGGCAGCGTTCGTACGGGTCTCCGGGCCGCCGAACAGTAGCTTCCTGGTCGGATACCCTGGCATATCTGCAACATTAGTGAGTTGAGCTTCCTGCGCACGAGGCGCAGCTTGTAGCGAGTCTCGGCTGGGCCCTTGGGGGGATGGTCGAGACTGGCGCGCAGGCTTTCTGGTCCGGCAGACACTAACGAGATACGCTTCTGCAGCCGCGCATCGAAGGAAAGGTCGAGATTAGACCGTCGCAGGGCTACTCCATGCCCGTCGCAATATCGCTCGTACGAATATGTTTACAGAAAAAAGAAACGATCCACCCCGCCGCCGAGAACGTCGCGAAACGACACCTGGGCACACCGAGGAGGGAGACGATTGATGTCGTGGGGAAAGAACTGCTGCTGTTCAGGTGCCAGGCAGGCAAGGAGGCTGAGAGCGTGATCGCGATGGACCTGCCATTCGTGCTCTTCATTCCATACGGTAGGGGCGGGGAGGAGACCAACAGGAGGATACCGCCCGCATCGCTACAGCTGCCCTCGAGGACGGCAGAGACGCTCTACGAGCTGGTCGTGACGGTACAGCAGGGCGCGAGCACCCAGAACAAGTACTCCTTCCCGGTGCCGTTGCAGAGGTACGACACGCTGTCGACGTTCGGCATGTACAACCGGCCCGAGTCGAAGGTGGTGACGGCAGACAACCTGGTGACGCTGGGCATCTCCCTCCCAAAGTGGAGTTACGGCCCTTGCGACCCTATCACGGTGTACATCAAGCTAGCGCCCAACGCGGACTGGGTCAACAAGGCCAAGAAGGTCACCATCAGGAGCATCACGCTGGCAATCGAGGAGGAGATCACGTACAACCCCGAAGGCGACGAGCCGACGAAGAAAGTCAACAAGATCGCGAAACACACACAGCCCGTCGGGGCTAAGTTGCCCGAGGCTGGCTACGTAACGAACCTGGGCCTGGTGTTCCCGTCAAAGGACCTACGGGACTCGGAGGGAATAGTCAAGCGGGGCAAGCCCGGGTTCCCCATGTACGAGGTCCCTTCGTTCACGACGACATCGACACTCTACAAGATCGAGTTCTTCCTGAGCATCAAGGTACGGGCTGTCCTGGGCAGAGGTGTAGCTCTAGGGGCACATATGAGGAGAGAAAATAAGTAGCTGACTTTCATATTCTATGCAGGCCCAGATGAGCTCAGCTCGCGACATCACCCTACGGCAGCCGATCGTGATATGTCCCATGGATCAGCAGGCCTGCAAAGAGGAGATGGATGCCATAGAACAAGCTGCGAAGGACGCCTCGCACGTCGACCCCAGCAATCCGATGCTTCCCGCAAGGTCAATCGTCGTTGCTAATGACAGGGACGCTCTGCGACACTTGGGGCTCTGCTCGGTCGGGGGCCAGAAGAAGCCGCTCATTGAATGATACCCCAGGTCAACTCTCGGATGAGAAACAGGCTTCGGTCCTGGACGAAATCCACTCGCTCATCTTTTTGAGTGTTTCCACCAAGCGGGTGGAACACCACGAGGAATGCGACCCGGATGCGCTTGGATGCCGTTGGTGAGCAGCTACCTGGAACGCAGCAGTCTGCGTACTCCGGTCCAAAAGGGCCCATACACCAGGATAGGGCCTCGGCAGAGCGGCAGCTCCCGGACACTGTTGTCCTCAACTTGGCGCTCGCGACGACCTTTGAGTCTCACAGCATCTTTGGCCCAGATGTACTGCCGGCTCCTTGCTGTGCAGCATTTGATGTACGGAATGCACATCATTGTGTTGGAACCATCAGCGTCGAATGGGGAAATGCTACGCCCTTTTTGCTTTAGCGACCCCTCTCTGCCGCGACGACTTCGGCTACCAGGAAGCAGGCATGACACGACGACAACACCAAGCAACTACCTACCCTACTATGCTATTCTGTGCGCAATAGTTTACGATTGAGCATGCTTTATTTGAGCAAAAAATGGATGGAACCCCCCCCCCCCCCGCGGGTCATGTCTTGTTTAGGCAATCGCTTTTGTCGAAGCGTTCATGCAATCAAATCTCCCAGACCACGTGCAGAGTCTGCCACCGCAGACATTGCGTAACAACATGGCTTCCGAAGGCCGGCGAGACTGACGGGATACCTTAATCCAGTCTCCTCGCTCACATAATGTTCTTCCTCTTATCGTTTAAGAACCTTGTCTTCATCGGAAATATACCCGACGACAGGCTGGAAAGGGCTGGGGGCAGCGGTGAGAGTGCATCCCACACAAGCATCAATTTTTGCAAGGCGTCGATGGTTTGAGATTTGCACACTGGCATTTTCACACGCCTTGCGATGCTTTATGAATGATCTGACGACTGATTGATGAGAGCACGAGCTGGGGAGGAAAGAGGGGGGGGGGGACTCGGTCCGAACATTCAAGATAGGATAGGTATACCAAGAACGGCATATACTTTCGAGGATGCTTGGATAGGAGAAGACGCCAACATGGGGCAAAGCAGGCGATCGTCCGTGCAAGTGAGTCCTAACCGGCCGCTATTGGATCTGGTGTTGTATTGTATACACATACACACATGCACACATGCACACATGCACACATGCACGCACACACTTTGCGCGTTAGCACTTCGATGCGGATCATCTGCAACCTGCAACTGATGGATGACGAACGACTCGAAGAGACACATTTTGAGCTAGAAGAAAGAAGGGGCTGCAGAAAATCATAGAGAATGGAAAGAACCAAATCCTCCCCCCCCCCCCCAAAAAAGTCTTGACAAATCCATTGTGCCTCTCGCAATCGTGTCGTGCAATGAAAGCAACAAGTTTCATGGCTGCCTAGAGACAGGTTACATCACTATCTAGTGGCGTTATTCCACGCATGCAGTAGCAACAGCAACAGATCGTGGTGCGGACCACACGGTTCACGATCTACATGCATTGCGCAGGCCTCGTGGACATCAAGGAAGCGACTCGAGGTAGTATCGTGCCATTGCGATGGCCACTCTGCTTTTTCTCTTCTTTTTTGTGTATCCCGACTCCACGGTTGTAGTTGTATTGGCCCCCACCTGCTTGCCACATGGGCGCATCTAGAACGTTTATCTTTTTCGCCCCTCTTCCCCTCCTCGCCCACCGGCGTGTTCCCATCAGTAAGGCTGAACCCACCTTCCAGCCATAGCAGGTTGAGCGGAACAATAGAATAAGCAAGCGTCTGACCTGAGAAGGGAGGAGGGTAGGATAGGAGGATAGGGTATAGTACGAAGAAAAAGAAGGGGGAGGGGGGGGGGGCGAAGTTGAACACACTTGTTTGTTTGATATTGAAGGGTTAATTAAGGGCTACTATCCCTTTGGAAGATGCAGGGCTAACTGGACCTGTTGTGTGGAGAGGGAAGTTTTGCAAGTGGCGATCTCTCTCTCTCTTTCTTTTCTTCTTCTTCTTCTATCCTAGACCTTAGACCGTCTATCTCGAGCAACAAACCAGCCAATATCATCAACCCTTTTCCTGTCTCAAACTTTTTAGTAGCAAGCTGATACTCAAGCTGCAACTCTGGGTTAAATCTTCCGATGGTAACATCATAGCGCCTACTATCCTGGCTAGAGGTATTGACAGAGTCTGAATTTGCCGGGTTCTTGCGTTATGCTCACGAAGGGCTTGCTAAATAAGTGCATGATTTAAGTAGGTAACAGGTAGCATGTGCGACTTCCATTGAATCTGTGTATTATGCCATGAGATAACTGCAACTCTGGGGGCTCTACAAAGGAGTCTTGAGATCGTATGGCGAAGAAACTGGGGCACAGATGACATGAGACTTGTGAATGTTGTCTCAAGGGCTGTAGTTATCACTCAAACGTTGTATCTTCTCGAAGGCGGCTTTTGACAGCCTAAAATACACTATTGCTAAGGGAACTACATCATTCTGGGGCAGTTCTAAATCAGCTGAGATTGAAGGGGTTAATACTTGATCATAAGTCCTTTCCCCAGGCGGAAATAGACGCGCAGTTCTCTTGCGAAAGCGAGCTGAAAGCATGTTACCCTATGCTGACCGAGCCTGAAGCAGTATGACTAGCTGTCCAAGCTGTGGAGAATATGGATTCAGATAAAGAAACATACTTTCCATTTGATTGAGCAGTCTAAGTTCGAGGGATTTGAACCAGTATATCTTAGATCTCAGTTCCATCTACTAAGCTTCGACCTTGGGAAAATAAGCAACTTATGTCGATTGCTCCCCGGAACCGTTCAGTGTTTGTATACTGTGGACATTGTCAGTATTACGTCAAGCTTAGCGTTAATAGGCTGTGGAGGGTGGCTTTACTCTATCTACGCCGAGGGACCATCTGCGCTGCTGTAGAGCTCAAGTAGCTTTGGTGGCAACTGTAGATCGGAGCATGCCGCTGTGGTAAGAAGCAGTGGTCAATTCTAGACATGATCGTGGCAGCGCGTAATTGTCGAAGTAGAGCCTTGATCCAAATAGAGGCAAGAAGACTGCCGATAGAGAGATCAGTCGGGTCTTTGCTTCCTCCAAATCAAGATTGACTGCTGCCGCTGCCGCAGTTCGTGGTTACATCGCACCACGATGCATAAGAAAGAGCACACATCAGGAACAAGAAGGAAAGTAATGATGCAGAGATGATATTGGTTTCGTTAAAAAGCCAAGTCGGCTTAAAGTCTTGATCTATTTGGTGGAATCATTGGCGGGTTGTAGAGCCTACCCAGATGCCCTCAAGCTTTCCCATGAATTGCCTTCACCCAACCAATCCTAACCGTGAGCTCCGTGACACATTGTCTGCATCAGCCCCCTTCCAATTCACGATCGCCCGAATAGTTCTCTCACCCCCTTCCAAATCATGACCCATCTGCGGCGAATCTGACCTTTTCTTTCCATTTTCAGGCTCATCTTGATGATATGGCTGTGCCCTCTCTGTCTTGGGCTTGTGTGTGAGCATATTGGAAATACCCATCAGATGCTCTGCTATCGAATTTGCATCTCAAAAAGCCCGTGATACCTTTACTCCCAAAACAAACCTCACCGTCCATATCAACCCACCCCTATCAAGTGCTTCAACTGAAGCTCATGCAGAGGGAAAGGTAGAAAAAAGAAAGAAAAAAGACACGCCTAGGCTTGTCAGTAACGTTGACTGTGTGGTAGCAGTGCCTCAAATGGCACAGACGTTTGACACAGCCAGTGGAAAAATCTGCAGGAATTTTGGGTATAGTGGAAGAGTGTGAAGAAAGGGTGGTGTTGACTGTGGCCTGCGAATGTCTGCCAGCCCAGCCTAATTAGGCCTGACGGCGGCGCTTCGCAGCAGGGACGTCGAGGCCATCCAGGTCAGACCGCTGGATCTCCTCCGTGACAGCAGGACTCGGGGTATCCTGCGCCTCTGTGGTAGGATGAAGACCATCAACGAGATGACTGGTGTCGCCAGTGGTCTGTTGGCCGTGGATGAAGTCGTGAGCACCAGCACCGGTTACGCTGAAGTCAAAGTTGGTAGGGTCGCCGCCCTCAAACGTGCCATGGTGATTGAGATCGTTGAGGTCGAAGTTGGCGTTGGTATTGTTATTATCCACATTCAGCCACTGGCTCACGTCGAAGTTGGCATCGTTGAGGAAGTACTCGTCAGGGCTGTCACTGCCAGGGGCGTTATAGCCAGGGATGTGACCATTGGGGGAGAACTGTCCGACAATGTGCGCGAGGTTATCGATGCCACTGCCGACCTCGCCCAAATGGTTCACAATTTCGTCGAGCTGGTACCTAGACTTGTCGACTTCGCCCACACTGGGACCTCGAGGTATGCTGCTGCCCATAACCGGTGACAAGGAGGTGCTGGGCTGCGGCGAGGCGGAAGAAGCCGCCGGTACGGGCAGTTCTGGCGCTGCAGGTGGGATCTGGACTGGGCTGGGTATGGCCGCTGCGTTGGGGATGGCCGCTTGGGTGGTGGGCGGATGGTAGGCCGAGGGGGGGCGGTTGGTACCAGGCGAGACCGTCCGCTGTGACATGGAGTTCAGCATGCGGTTGCGCTGATCGCTCGGCATGGATGCAGAGGTCGCAGCTGCGACCTCGGCCAGGTTGACATCTGGGGTCATCTGAGCATTGGTAGCGCCCATAATCTTCATCATTGCCTCCTGAGGGTTTGACTGCAGCTCGTTGCGGTAGTAGGCAGGCGATGTAGTGTCGGACGGAGAGGCGTCGTAGACCTCTGTGACGCGAGACGATTGCGGTGCCTCGTAACTGGGAGCGGGCGTCTCGTTGATAGGGCTGGGCGATGGTGGACCTACCGTGGCAGACGGGCTCTTAGCCGGGATGCCAGGCAGGAGGTGCTGCTGTCGCTTCTGGGGAACGGGGCTCATGGAGGTTCTGGGGACAGCCTGCTGCTGCAGGTACTCTCCCAAATCTCCGAGGTCCTGGACGGTGCCGGTAGCCACGCCATTCTGTCCGCTCAGGGGGAGAATGCTCGCCAACATCTCCGACAAATGCTCGGCGCTTCCCTTGCCCTCCAACGATTTCCTAAAGACGTTGGCCAGGAAGTTGAGGATGGCGGTGATGGAGTTCTCGTGGCGCTGGTGCATCTGCTCGACCCGCATCGCCTTTTGCATGATCTGGTCTTGATTCTGGCGCAGGTTGTGGATCATCGCCAGTACCTGCTGCTGCTTCTGCTGAACCTCGGCCAGTTGCTCGCGGAACTTACCCATCTCAGCAGGCTTGGCGAGCGGTCCAGACTCGTTGCGACCGTAAGAAGAAGACTTGTTGGGTGCACCAGAAACCGCGTAAGTTTGGGTGCCATCGTCCATGAAGTCGTCGTCGCTATCGGCCTCCATGACATCTGGCATGTCCCTGTTCTTCGCCTGCTTCCGCTTGCCCGAACCCTTGTTGGGCTTCTGGATGAGCCACTGAAGGATGTCGTAGCCACGACGAAAGTACTGGTGCGCGTACTCGCTGGGGCTCTTGTTCTTCTTCTCGCTCGCACGCATCGAGTTGTCGGACAGGCCGACCTTCTTGTGGAAGCCGTACATGTTGAGCTGACGGACGAAGGATGCATAATTGTTGTGCTTGAACATCTCGGGGATCAGCTTCTTGGCGAACTCGTCCTCGTCGAGGACAATGAACGAGTCACCCTTCTCGGACCAGCGGATAAGGTCGCTGTTCTTGCCATTGTCCAGGAAACTGTACAGGGTAGTAGTCAGCACACGAATTCCGAGTCAAACCAGAATCACGACACCTGCAAGGGTCCCAGTGGAGACGGATGTGGTTGACAGCAAACGCACCTTGCCAGCTTCTGTACGAAGGGGGGTATAGCCCTCTTCTGGTTGGAACCCTCCTTCTTGGCCTCCTCCTCGATCTTTCGGGCGCGGGCCAGCGCATCGCGCAGCTGCTGCTCGGGATCGTCCTCGAGGGGTCGAGCATTGGTAGCAGGAATCAGGGCAGTCTCGGTGTTGGACCACTGCTCAGGCTGGGCGTCGAAGACGGGGTGGGGAGCGGTCGAGACAAGGGCGCGGCTGCTGTTGTCGCGAAGTGCGACGGCATTTGATTGAGCATGGGGCAGGACTTGAGGCTGAATCTGAGGCTGAATCTGAGGCTGAACCTGAGGCTGAACCTGAGGCTGGATCTGAGGTTGGGTCTGGTAGACCTGCTGTCCGTGGGAGGCGATCTGCTGCTGCTGCTGAGGGACGGACATGTACTGGTTGGAGACATCTGCAAAGTTGTTGCCATTGGCAGCCATTCCGTTCCAGTGCATCATGGGGTCCTGGGTCGTATACTGCTGAGGGGCCTGCTGAATTGGACCAGTGGGCAGTGGGTTGGCGCCCGGAGCAGCACGCTTGCGAGAGTTGGGCGACGACATTGTGTTGTGCATTTGGTAGGTAGGAGTCGATACAAAAGTTGTTGCGCGAGTAACGTGTGGGGGAGATAGACACGGTTGGTCGCTGGCTATGACGATGGATCTGCCGGGGGAATGGGGAACAATCGGGCGCGCGATCGCAAGGTAGGAGGACAAGACTGGCTGCTGGCGATCAGCTGAGAGGTATCTGAGAGATCGGAACGCAGGAGAGGCTGTGACGATCGCCGCTGGTCTCAGCCTGATGCGCAGTGTTCGCAGTCGGGTCGTTCGGGTGCGACGGCGGGAGCGGCGGGTTGGCTCCGGAGAAAGGCTGGCGAGGTCATCAGGAAACCATATCGAGAAGAGTTATCATGGAGCGCAAGGGGAAAGAGGGAGAAAGGTGCGATTTCTAGGAAAAGGAAAAGGAAAAGGTAGAGGAGAATTGCGGTCGTGGTGCGAAAATGCGGCTGGGCGCCTCAAGTATCCATGTAGTCGGTAGTTGGAGACATACAATGGTGGTAAGGTTGTAGGGTGTACCGTAGTAGTAGGGCGACTCGTGAAGAATGAACCAGGGGACAGGGGATACTTACCCCACAAAGATTAGCTGGCGGGGTGAGGTAAGGTGAGGTGAACCTCAGTACAAGGCCTTATGGCTGACTTTGACTAGCTGCAGGCCGCTGCCACCTAGACCAGCAGGACCTGACTAGGAAGACAAGTAGGCAGCACAAGCACAGTGCCTGATAACAATCTTGTTTGATGCTGTTGATTGAGGGTGTTGTTCGAGGGTATGGTTGTTGCTGTTGGTGTGAAGAAAGATTTGATGGTGAAGATACAGAACTGGAGTGAGGAGACTGGAGAGAGAGAGAGAGAGAGAGAGAGAGAGAAATGAGGTTGGCTGGGTAAAGTGCACGTTTGCTGCTGTAGTTACTGACTGTCCCAAGGCACCGTCTGGTCTTTTCTCGTCCTGTGCTGCTTGGACCTCCAAGTGGAAGAAAGAAGGGGAAGAAGATGCCAGCTGCCTCAGAGTTTAAGTACCAGGTTGAGAAGTTGGAAGAGAGAGTGAGGGAGAGAGAGAGTGTGTGTGTGTCGAGTTCTGATCGAATTGCAGCCACAATGGGCCCCAGCTGCAATTGTTCCATTGGGGTTTTTATTTTTTCTTATCCCAACTCTCCCTATTGTTACTTTTTGAGGTTATTCAGTGATGCAACCAGAGTGGGTCCCCAAATGGATACACCCAATCAAATTCCTTGCCGTCTCCCTCGACAAGAGAGACATGTGTGGTGGGGCCTTTGCCGTCATCGCCTCTCTGGCTTGTGATCGTAAACGAGCCCGGGGGGGTTCAAGGCATGCTTCTCTTCGTTTAGAACACAAGAAGAAAAACCTCAAAGCGTCTTCTCGTTCCAAAAAAGGTGTTCTCTATTGCTTCTTCTTCTTGTTTTACTACCTTTTCTTTCTTCTTCTTTTTCTGCACCATTCCTAGTCATGGAGGCCCTGAATATGGAAGTTATGTGTTCGCTGACTGCTGAATATTGTCCCGCTATTTTCTCCAGAGGTTCTTTTTCGTTTGACCAGAGCTGTTTGCGATCGACCTCGACTCGACCCACCTCGAGTAAGGCCCCGGGGTTGTCTCTGTCTAACTCGGCACTTGCCGGGGCGGCAATCGCCAGATATAGCACATGGCAGTCGAGAGCTGCTCAACAGTATTAGTTTTGTATAAATTCTATTGCCTACTTTGTCATGATGTTACGACGCCGCTGTTGCGAGAGTTTGGTGCCGCTTCTGTCTTCATAAATGTGGCAATGCATCTTGACCTTGAGTTTGGCATGATGGTTCTGACCAGCCAGACTGCTGCTCCTTGGGGGTATCTCTGTAACTACTACACCGGCTCTGTTCTCATTTCGCACCTCTGCCTGCCAACGATGATGCCCGAGCCATTTGCGCATTCTTTGCAATGTCATCCCAGGCTCGTCTAGAAGATCCTCCTCGGCCGTCTTTCCCCTTGCGCTCCGTGTTGATGTCGCGCGCCTTTGCCAGTGGGTCGATCACTACCAACTCTTCTTCTGCCTTCTTGCGATATGTCAGGTCTTTACCCAACTTGTCTGCTGCGAAGCTAAGGGAATGCGACATCCAGCCCTCGTCATCACTGTCGTCTTTGGCTTCCGCCTTGTCCCATGCCTGGCAACTTTGGCAGTTGGCAACAAAGTGCAGATCACAGACCTCGTCTTCTTCGGTTGCGCCCTCTGCGTCCTTGTCCTTGCCAATTTCTGTATTCGACGCATCCTCGGCAGCCTTCTCTGGTGGTGCCTGGTCCAATTTTGCCTTGAACGAGTTGAGAAAGTTTAGCGCCTTCCTCTCTTCAGCCGCTGTTATATTACTGCCGCCGGGCTTCCTCTTGCGGCCTCTTGTTGCTGATGCGGGTATCATCTGCTCCAGAGCGGACTTTTTCTTCTCCTCCTGGAATGGCTCTGATGAGTGAACAGTCTTCTTCAGAGAGGCTTTCAGCGCAGCAATCTCCTCATTTGTGCGCTCCAGCTCGGTCTTCTTCTTTGGCGACTCTGGCTCGGGTGACAGTTCAATTTCATTCTTCACCTTCACTTTCTCCAGACTTTTTCTGGTCGACTTTGGCGGGGGCGGAGGCGAGGGCTCACGGGATGTTGCCTGCCGCGCAGCTGTTTCTCGTATGGGGACGGTCCTTTCATCCTTCGCCTCCTCCTTCCGGGCAGCTTTCGTTCGCGGGGGCGGAGGCATAGGCTCTTTGTTCTCGTCCTCGTCGTCAATCATGACGATTCTTGTGTCGAACTTGGGCTTCTTGGGTAGAGGTTCAATATCACCCTCGCCTTCTTCATCGCCGAAGCTGAGAAGCTGCTTCCCACCTTTCCTTTTCTTGTCCCTCTTCTTCGCTGCAACGGCTGGCCTGGTTGTCCGTTGCGCAATGCGCTCCCGCTTCTTCATGTCTTCAAACGGATTGACCAGCACTTCCACCCCTCTGATCTTGGTCGGGTACAACGGCCGCTCCGATGCCTCGTCCACTTCGGCCTCGCCCATTTTTGCCAAATTGTAGATCGTATCACCCGCCACCCGCCCAAACATGGTATTCTTTCCGTCCAGTTCCGCTGCCCTGTCCAGCGTGAAGAAGAACTGGCTCCCATTCGTATCCGGCAAACTCTCGTTTGCCATGCCCAGTAAACCCCTGCGGTTAAACTTCAGCCGTGAATGGAACTCATCCTTGAAGTTGACACCGGTCGGGCCGGCATTTTTGCCTCGCCGCTGGTCCATTGGCCATGGGTCCAGGTCCCCGCTGAAGGCGCCTCGATCGTAGATGGACTCGCCGCCATTTCCCGTGCCGGTTGGGTCACCACCTTGTAAGATGAAACCTGGGACGAGTCGGTGGAAGATCGTGCCGTCATAGTAGCCGTCGAGGCAGTGCTGCAGGAAATTTCGGCATGTGAGCGGCGTCTGCTTGGCAAAGAGCTCGACGGACAGGTCACCGTGGGTAGTATGCAGGATCACGGAAGCCGTAGGCTGCGGCTCGGTGTTGTAGATGCTCGACATGGCAGTGTTTATGTCTGCACAGTCATTGCTGAGTCTGTCGGGCAGGAGCTGAACTCGGCGACTGCAAAAAAGTCCGTGTGGGTTTCGTCTGTTTGTGGAAGGAGAGCCTTGAATGTTGGTACGACAGGCAGTACGGCAGGGGGGAGAAAACCACTGCCTGCCGGGCGTGGAGCTCTATTTATGTGTAGCTATGGCCCTGAAAGCTCAGACAGGCGCCGATCAATTAAGAGCGTGCTGGTCCACATGAGAGCTGCCATGAAATCATCTCAAACCTGTGGTATTCAACAAATTAAGCCAATCTACTAGATGTACTCATGAATTTGTATACTATAGGACCTTCCTTTCAAGTTCCTTCTCTATTGATTGATGAAATTCGCAAAGTTGAAACAAAAATAGCATCTTAGGATTTCTGACGTACATCGATCACTTATCAAACGCTACCCGCCTATCTAGCGAGGCATCGCCTGGACACAAGGTATCCGCTGCTAATAGCGGCTATGCTGGATGCCGCTCCACCCCTCCAAACGCCTGCCAGAGCTTATCTCCACAGAACCCCAAGCTCTCGAACACCTCAGGTCCTCGAGTCGTCATCTGCCATTTCCAACAAAGCCCTTCCCTTCCCTTCCGCTCTCTCGACCACACAACTACCTTTTCCTTGCTTTCCTACACAGCAGCCGCCATGGGTGATCCGCGCGAATCTTCGTCCCACTACTCGGTGACGCCGCACCTCAAGTACAACACTGTGGGCGGTGTGAACGGTCCTCTCGTCATTCTCGACAATGTTCGTGCTCTCTCTTGATTCCTTTGCCGGCCTGGAGGGTGAGCGGAAGACTTACGAGCGAACCAGGTCAAATTCCCCAGATACAACGAGATTGTCAGCTTGACCCTTCCAGATGGGTCGATCAGACAAGGACAGGTCCTCGAGGCTCGAGGTTTGTGCAAGGACACTTCTGAGGCAATTTGGGCGGGACCACGCTGACGATCTGTTGGACAGGAAACCGAGCCGTTGTGCAGGTAATACAGACAGCTTCATTGCCGCCAACAAAGCCACAGGAAAGATACATGCCGCTGATACGATCATTAGGTTTTCGAAGGAACCTCAGGCATCGATGTGAAGAAGGTGCGATCATAAAACTTTGGGAATTCTGTGGACGTGGGCAAGTGACGCTGACGAGGATCTACGACAGACGAAAGTCGAGTTCACAGGCGAGAGCTTGAAGCTTGGTGTGTCGGAGGACATGCTGGGACGTATCTTTGATGGATCAGGTCGGGCCATCGACAAGGGCCCCAAGGTGCTGGCGGAAGACTACCTTGACATCAACGGCAGCCCCATCAACCCTTACTCGAGAGTAAGAACCAACCGCTTTTTATCAAGCATGCCGATGACTAGTACTGATCGAGATCTAGGTGTACCCCGAGGAGATGATCTCCACTGGTATCTCTGCCATCGACACCATGAACTCGATCGCTCGTGGCCAAAAGATCCCCATCTTCTCCGCCGCCGGTCTCCCGCACAACGAGATCGCTGCTCAGATCTGCCGGCAAGCTGGCTTGGTCCAGAAACAGGGTGTCACAAACAAGGGTGTACATGATGGTCACGAGGAGAATTTCTCCATTGTCTTCGGTGCCATGGGTGTCAACTTGGAGACCGCCCGATTCTTCACCCGTGATTTCGAGGAGAACGGCAGTCTGGAGCGTGTCACCCTCTTCCTCAACCTTGCCAACGACCCTACGTCAGTCATCCCCAGCTATATGGAACCGCTTGGGCTTTCTTGCTGACTTTGAATTTAGTATCGAACGTATCATCACACCCCGTCTCGCCCTTACGACCGCCGAGTACTACGCCTACCAGCTCGAGAAGCACGTCCTGGTCATTCTCACCGATCTGTCTTCTTACTGCGATGCCCTGCGTGAAGTCTCAGCTGCGCGAGAAGAAGTCCCCGGTCGTCGTGGTTTCCCCGGTTACATGTACACGGATTTGTCAACCATCTACGAACGAGCCGGTCGTGTCGAGGGCCGCAACGGTTCGATCACGCAGATCCCCATTCTCACTATGCCCAACGACGACATCACACACCCTATTCCTGATCTGACGGGCTACATTACCGAGGGCCAGATCTTTGTGGACCGTGGTCTCTACAACAAGGGTATCAGCCCGCCCATCAACGTGCTGCCATCGCTGTCCCGTCTCATGAAGTCTGCCATTGGCGAGGGCATGACGCGCAAGGATCACGGCGATGTGTCGAACCAGCTGTATGCCAAGTACGCCATCGGACGTGACGCTGCCGCCATGAAGGCAGTCGTCGGCGAAGAAGCCTTGTCGGCGGAGGATAAGCTGTCGCTCGAATTCCTGGAAAAGTTTGAACGGCAGTTCATCAGCCAGGGCGCCTACGAGTCACGGACCATTTACGAGTCCCTGGACCTGGCGTGGTCGCTGCTGCGTATCTACCGCAAGGACATGCTCAACCGTATCCCCAAGAAAATCATTGATGAGTTCTACGTGCGCAAAGCGAAGGGGAAGGATAAAAATGTCAAAGACACTGCGGCGGCGGATGAACCACAGGAGGAGAACCTCATCGATGCGTAAAGTTTTGTGAGGACGTCGTGGACCAGAGGAGGAAGGCTAGGAAAACGCGTTCCCCCCCCCTCCCTCCGGGGTGGATCTTGTGTGTATTACCTGGGATGTAGAGTCTCGGCGGTGAAACATTTTTTGCATTTTTTCTTCTTCTTCTTTCGTATTGTTAGCATGTGGTGAGAAATAAGGAGCAATAGCATTTGTCACAACACTTTGGAAGTACTGATGAGCCTACTGACAAAGTTTCCAGCACAGTAAGAGAGCTAACGAACACAGCTAATCGCCCCCCCCCCCCCCCCCAAGTATTTGGTTTTCTACTACTCCCAGAAACAGACTGCTCGCACCTCTATACTCTCCCGTGCCGGCAAGTCCTCCGTTCCGGGCAGGATAAATGCCGTGTGTGGACACCTCCAACCAGGTTTGTCCCGCGCCGTATCGAGCCCCTTGAATACCACCATCTCATTCGGCCTCATCTCGCTCATCCAGTACCACATGTGCCTCTCCTCCCCATCTTTACCGCCGTCGCCAGCACCGGCCCTGGTGTGTGAGAGGACATAGTTTCCCGACCGCACGCCGCTCGGCCGGAACTTCCGCTCGCGGAGGAGGTAGTCGGCGTCCGGCACCGTAGCAGCGTCCGCGACGGCGAGGGGGTCCCGGGCGATGGTACGCAGGGGACGCCAGGCGTTGACGAAGGCGAAGCGCGGGGCTGAACCGAAGAGGGCCTCGATGTGGGCCGGGAGCTGGAGCTCCTCGAGGGTGCCCCTGAGGTCCTCCGGGCGTCCGCTATAGTCTACGTGGGGGTGACCCGAGGGCGGAATCTGCCACTGGCCGGTGGAAGGGTCGAGCTGGCCTTTGGCGAAGGGGTTGCTGCTGCGCCGGATGACGTGGTTGAAGATGTGTACTTGGGAGGCGCCGGTTCTTGGGGCGGACAGGCTGGTTAGCGGTTTGTTCTTTCCAAGTGGATGGGGGCAACCGAGGGGGGGGGGGAGGATTGGGTGAAAGAGGGTAGGTGTGACTGGGGCTGTCTTCCTTCACTGGTCCTTCCTTTGAGATACTCTTACATTGTTTTGAAAATTTCCTCGAGCTCTGGAAAATATTTGTTCTGCAGAATCTCGTCGCTTTCGAAATTGCCGAGTTTGTCGTCGTCGTCATTGTTGTCTGCGAGCCGTATGAACTGGAAGCCGTTCGTGTCCAGATCAAAGTGGTCCTCGATGCCCCGCATGTCGTGGATGGTCATCGTCCTCGTCCCCTCGCCTCGAACGCCGAGGAACCTAGGCTTCCAGTCCTCTGTTGTAATCACCTTCTCGATCTCTTCCTCAGCCGCAGGGAAATAGTTGATATCAGCACAGACGTCCATGATGATTGCTCTACTGTATACGCTGCCTTTGGAATGCCGATGCCAGCTCGTCACAGCGGGCGAGACTGTTAAAGTTCATGGCTCTCTGCTCGTGGACCATTTTAAACCTTTTTTTTGGGATGAGCATCGTCGGCGAATCGGAGAGGGCTTGGATAATACCACGCGAGGCTCTCCGCAGCTAGACGTCGCGAGGGGTTCAGCGCATGTAGTCAGTTGTGCGGGATAAGTAATGACCGCCCACTCTCGCCGCAGAACCTCTTCGCCTGTAATTCTTCTTCTATTTCTTTGCTTTATGTAGCTGCTATATTATGTATCATTTCAATATGTCTGTTATACTTTCCCACTTCTGTGATCATTCCCCGTCTCTCTCATCCTTTTCTTTATTGTTTCCTTCTCCTCTTTACTCTAGTAAGTATTCTCTCCCTGCCTACCGTTCTCTATCTTTCAGCCCCCCCCCCCGGTTCCTTTCCCTTGTCTTTCTTCCTTGCAAAAAAAATTCATTGTGGAAATTTCTTCAATTGGTTTCTGTCTTGTTCTGGTTTCTTCTGTGTTCAAGACTCTAGTCCTAATCCGATTCTCGAGGTAGTTGTGGTGATGTCGTTGGTAGCCTGCCATTTCTGGCAAGTTGCCGCTAAGGTTGACTTGCTATGAGCTTCATGCAACATGCATCGTGGGTCGCAAACTTTCCTGCTTCTCAATTGATATACGTTTTTCTTCTCAACATAACCAACTTCAACCAGCCGCATCGAACAGCACGCTCACAAACGCAATATTTCACCAAATTGCAAACGCACCCACACGCCACAAACTGAAGGCGCCCCCAATTTGACGCGACACAGACAATTCATTGGCGGGTCGCCATAATCATTCATCTCATCGTCACACTTCACCCACTCACTACACCTACTTGAGCAACCATGGCTCAGCAGCAATCACCAACGTCCATAACACTTTACCCGAAACCCTCACCAACAACGACGACCAGGACGCCCGCATCAACCACATCATCAGCCAATTCCCTCCCGGACCTCCTGCACACGCCAACAGGCCTCGCCCTCCTCGAGCTCCAGGGGACAATCAACCTTCCCGCCCCCGAAGATCCGGCCGCCGACGCGTCATCGCCCGCAGTGGATTCCATCAGCATCGGTCGTGTCGAGTTCCCAGACTACAAGCCCGACTCGGTCACATTTGACCCATCCAGTACCGCCTGGATGAAGCGAGTCCATCTCTTTGTTGGGCAGCACCAGAGACTGACGGGCGAGGTGAAGAAGCTGCCGCGGGCGATCGGGGTAGTGAGGCGGCGGGAGGGAGATGAGGAAGCACTGGAGTTTGCTGAGATTGTGAAGTATAAGATTGTGTTCTCGTCGAGACCTGAGCCCGTCGGAACGGGATGAAGGGCGCGGGTGCATGAGTGTATTGCGGGGGCGGGGGTCGCAGAGTTAAGGCTGCTGAGGTTGGCGGACTTGCATCTCAAGAACAGTCAGTCTGTTTGTGGTGGGTATGTTGCGGGCTATAGGCAGCTGCGCAGCTACAGTTGATCACGAAGAGAAGGGAATGGCTCAGGCAAGGGATTTGTCGTATCCAGACTGATGAAAGCTGGATGATGGAATCAGTGGGTCTACATACGGGGCCTTGAGTGGACATGCCTCAGACGAATGCTGGAAATTGTAAGATGTCTAGAACAGGCACGGTTGTGCTCTTCACAGCTTTGACACTGTATGGACAACAGGATTGAGTCAAGCCACATTTCAATATTGAATTCAGCGCACTATGCCTGCTGCCAGAAGGGGCCATGCGACAACGAAATTGCCTCTCCAGAAATCGGGGATGAAGTTGAGTGCTGACACGGCTACTATGCTGCTTCTACTGCCAGCTTCGCAGGCTTCACTCTTCCTAGGCCATCTTTACCATAGTAGTCCATCGGATACACACCCTTTCCCCAATCTTCCTTCTCCCCCAGCGCAATGAGGGCTTCATATGGCGTCAGCAGGGGCCTGGGGAACGCATACCCCCAATCGATGCTCAGCCGTGGACAGGCGACCTGCACCCAGCACTCCACGTCGCCCATCGTTGCCAGCTTCCCTGGGAAGATCTCGCTCAGGAGAAGATTAACCCATGGAATTCCCAGCTGTGTGAGTTTCTGTTCGATCAGTGACATCGTGTTTGGGTTGCCCTGCCGTCCCAGTGATCCAAGTATCAGGCCCCACTTCTTTGCTGACTTGGCCGTGGTGATCGCCTGTCGCCGCAGGTCCTGCATTTCCTCATGTCCGTATGTCTCATGTGTAAGCTTCCGTGAGTAAGGGTCGTATCTATAGGCTGGTATCTCAGGGTTGTGGATCATGATACTCTCTAGATGGAACCGGCCATCGCCAAGGTAGAGAATAAGGTCAACAGGCCCGTCCTCGGCGTATCTAGTGAGGTCGGGACTAGTACAGCCCAAGATCTCGCCTTTCGACAAAGGAGCAATCTGCGGAACGATGACTTTGAACCCAGCTTTGGTCAGGGCAGATCGCACTCCATGGATCGTCGCGTTGAATTGAATGGTGCCGACCATGGCAATTGTCTTCCCTGGGGTAAAATTCCTCTCCAGGGATGCCAACAGGTGTGCCGTGTCGATGCTGATGTCGACAAAGACATAGAGCGTTTTGATCTTTGTGACATCGACTGATATCAGACACGAGTGCGCATAATGAACAAGCAGGTCACAGCCCATGGCACGAGCGGTGTAGTCGTCGATGCAGCACGCCCCATAAGTGACATCGCCCATGATGAGGGTCTCGATGCCAGGGCAGAACTGCTGAAGGATGTCGGAAATAGTGGTTGCGAACATGAGAAGGCCCTCAGGCATCTGGAGGGCGACCTTCTTGGACCCAAGAGTCCGGATGCGGTGGATGGTCTTAGGGATCTCAAATGAGTAATTCGCCGGCAGGAGGGACATGGCAGATTTGAGTTCGGGGTTGTCAAGGATCTCTGGGGGCACCTGATTTAGAAGACGAGGTGCTCTTCTTGGCTGGGCCACTAACAAACTTGTCATTAAATCCTTCTATCTCAGCATGCTGTGAACGAGTGACTCTACCCTGAATGGCCCCGGCATCTTCGATGGACGCAGAGCCGTCTCCGTTCTTGGTGGCGGCCGTCTGTGCTGCTGTCCGCCTGCCCACAAATCTCTTCTTTGGCTGCCTGACGGCTTGTGTGGGTGCTTCTTGATGCTCAATATCCGCAGCAATGCCCAGATCCACCTGAGCTCTATCGTCCTCCATTTTCTAAGCGTAGTTGTTGTTTGCCCTAGGAAGAAGAGGGAAAAAAGAAAGAATAAAATGAGCGCCTGTCGTATCGGTCGGCTCGATGCCAGGTGTGATATGAGAAAATGAGCTTGAAGCCGGTCTCTACTGGCAGCCGTTGTAAATTGGAACTACCAAGTCGGGCTTTTCGAGTAGACAGGATATGAATGTGGGCAAGAGAGACTAAAGTACTGATGCTCACTCTGGATTCGAGGAGGGTCATAGTCATTTTACATGGGGATTTTCATCGCGACCCTTTTGGGAAGTCTGGGTTCAGAATGCCCCACCAAGCATTTGGCGAGCCACTAAGATCAGGTATGGACTAGCGCGGACGCACGGACGCAAAAATTAGCCCTTCGCACAGAAAATTGGTTTTTGGCTGTCCAATTGACCTTCCTGTCGACCTGCCCTCCTGCTTTTCGAACTTCGAAGCCATTCCCCATCACCAACTTCCACGACTTCATTCTTTCAGTCCACGATTCTCGACTGAGAGCCCGACAAAATGAAGTTGAACATGTACGTCTGACAGCTCCTGTCGATTTTCTCGGTAGCCCTCTTCAATAGTCTTCGAAGTTTTGCATGTCGACCTGCAAATCGCCTTCGTGGGACCTTGATCGTATACAGCGAAACGTGCAGCATGCTGACCTTTGAATCCGTGCCACAGCTCTTACCCGGCTAACGGTAGCCAAAAGCTCATCGACATTGAAGATGAGCGCAAGCTCCGCATCTTCATGGAGAAGCGCGTACGTTTTGTCGCCCCTTTCAGTCGAGCCACCATGCGACGATCGCGATCGATACGCTTGCCCAATATACACAACGTATCACTGCAACACGAATGATCATGCAGTGGTTTCTCGAGCAGCACAAGAGCTTGGAAAACGGGCTAACAATACCTTCTAGATGGGCCAGGAGGTCCCCGCCGACTCCCTTGGTGATGAGTGGAAGGGCTACATCTTCCGCATCACCGGCGGTAACGACAAGCAGGGCTTCCCCATGAAGCAGGGTGTCATGCACCCTACCCGTGTCCGCCTCCTCCTCTCCGACGGCCACTCCTGCTACCGCCCCCGCCGCACTGGCGAGCGCAAGCGCAAGTCCGTCCGCGGCTGCATCGTCGCTATGGACCTGTCCGTCCTCGCTCTTGCTATCGTCAAGCAGGGCGAGCAGGACATCCCTGGCCTCACCGACGTCGTCCACCCCAAGCGCCTCGGTCCCAAGCGCGCCACCAAGATCCGCAAGTTCTTCGGCCTCACCAAGGAGGACGATGTATGTTTTTCCCACACCACATACAGTTCCGTCTTCGCCTACCCGATGGCTGCGGTGTTGGAAATCAAGCAGTTCGGGTAGAGAGTGAGAGGAATGAGATTCAACATCGAGAATCTCAGGGCTAATAATTTTCTCTGTTTTCCCCCGGGATATAGGTCCGCAAGTACGTGATCCGCCGCGAGGTCCAGCCCAAGAAGGAGGGCGCCAAGCCATACACCAAGGCCCCCAAGATCCAGCGCCTGGTCACCCCCCAGCGCCTGCAGCACAAGCGCCACCGCATCGCACTCAAGCGCCGCCAGGCCGAGAAGGTCAAGGACGAGGCCGTATGTTTATCTTTGACCCCTTGATTTTATATCTATGAGAACCGCCCGGCTAACACAACTGCGCAGAACGAGTACGCCCAGATCCTCGCCAAGCGTGTTGCCGAGGCCAAGGCCACCAAGGCCGATGCCCGCAAGCGCCGCGCTTCTTCCATGCACAAGGCTTAGGTGTTTGGCGCTCGGAAACGGGTACGTCTCTTGTGATTCGGATACGGTTTAGGGATATGATGGCTGGTTCGGCAAACAAAAAGTGGGAGAGTTATCTCTTGGCTTGATATGGACGAAGACTCCAAAACAGATGCTACACAATGATCGATACCTCCATATATGAAAGGCGTTTTGGGACAAGTGATCAATTACTGCTCCACAAACTGGAGTGTTGCAAGTCTTGATTCTTGTGCCTGCTCTACGCGGCGTATAGCGCTTTTTATCTTGACAACAACTCAATGTTCACTGTCCGAAGCTTTAGGTCTCTGTCGTGATTTCTAGCCATCATTGCTCTACAATATTAAGACTCGCCTGCTACTGGGAGATGGTCTGATTCTTTTACTGATGAAGTGGCCCGTGTGGGCTTTCTGAACCCCAACCACGACCGGGCGTGCACTGGGTAATCAGATATGCCTAGGAGCAGACCGCGTACTTACATGCTGTGAATTCTCACCAGGTTTGGTAGTCCCGCCCTCGATCCAATTATTGTATATTGACACTATGGCATTGGCCACGACTCACATATAGGATGGATGCTGTGTCAACATTCCAGTTATGGCAGGCACGATTCTTGCACGTTTTGATTGCCGTATGTATGTCTGGAGACCCACCCCATGATAGTCCGGCAGACTTCAAGAAACCCATTCAATGTCTTGTCACTTTTTGCGTTGATAGCAGCATATGACTTCGTGGTCATTGTTCTTCTTCAGTTTCAACTTGTCTTTCGTTGTCATGATATTGCTGAATGTCTTGCTCCACAGCTCGGGGCTTGTAGGCATCTCCCAAGATCTACATTCACCGCGGCCAGGATGCAATTCGTCACGTATTGGCAGAATGGACAATCCTGAAGAAACGACCTTGCTTGCTGAGGGACTAAAGTAGTACAGACATACAGGAAGACATGGCCCAATGGACCTTTTGCCTCGCTGAGGTCATAACGTCTGCGGGGTTGATGGAATTTGTCCCGTGGATGCTCGTACAAAGCAGCGAGCGTTCCATCGTGAGACACCCAATAGTACTGTCCAAAAGAACACATCAACTCCATTGATGGAGGACAGACATCATGTTGCCCCTGTCAAATTTTTCCTTGCCACCTTCTAGACTTTGCAGACATACCCAGACCATCCGTCTACCCAGAAGTGCAAAGAAAAAAGAAAGAAAAAAGACAAAACCCCAGATGACTCCTGACCTGCAATTTTCTTCCCCTCCTCCCCCCCCCCCCCCCTCCTTTTCTCCCATATCCTGCAAGGAGCCCCATGTTTAGAAAACGTGCGTGAACAGATAGCTCACACTCTCGCCGTTGTGCGTCCGACGGATCGACTCGGCAAGCGTGCCGCTGACGTCCATGACCTTGAGCTTCGGGCAGCGCTCGAGCTTGTCGCCGAGTGGCACGGTATTGGTGACGACAACCTGGGACAGGGCGCTCTTGTTGATGTTATCAATGGCGGGCCCGCTCAGGATGCCGTGGGTGACGATGGCGACGACCTCGCGGGCGCCGTTCTCCTTGACCACGGCAGCGGCTTTTGCGAGCGTGCCGCAGGTGTCAGCCATGTCGTCCACCAGGATGCACACCTTGTCGACGACGTTGCCGACGAGGACCATGCGGCCGACCTCGTTGGGACGGGGCCGCTCCTTGTGAATCAGGGCGAAGGGGAGGTCAAGGCGGTCGGCGAGGGAGGTTGCGCGCTTGGCGCCGCCGGCGTCGGGGGAAACGATCACGCAGTCCTTGACGGAGAGGTTCTCCTGAATCCAGCGCAGGACGGAGGGCTCAGCGTAAAGGTTGTCGACTGGGACGTTGAAGAAGCCTTGGATCTGTCTGCAGGTAGGAAAAAGAAAATGGAAACCGTTAGTATGGAGGGTGAAGAATCTAGCTGGTATCCTGTTCGTCGGCCGAAAGAGAAGGGGGGGTGGGGTTCTCTTGTGTGTGCTACATACGATGCATGTAGATCCATGGTGATGACATGGTTGCAACCAGCGGTGGTGAGCATGTTAGCAATCAGCCTGGCGCTGATGGGGGCCCGGCTCTTGTCCTTTTTGTCCTGTCGCGCGTAGGGAAAGTTGGGTATCACGGCCGTGATGCGCCGTGCGGATGCTGTCCGGCCTAGAAATTGTTCGCCGTTGTATCAGTCACCTCGTCTCCCTCCTCTCTGCCGTAGAACCAGTGCTCGTACGTACAAGCATGTATCATGATCAGGAGCTCCATCAGACCGTCATTGATATCGCCGGGAGCTGTGGATTGGATGATGAAGACGTCCTCGTCCCGCACGGACTCGCCGACCGTCACGCTGGTCTCCTGATTCGAGTAATTCAGACTCATTGTCTTTGCGATCTCTATCCCCAGCCTATGGGTTACGGCCCATTCCACCTGTATGTCAGAGTCCCGCGCGCCATGTCTCGGGGGGGGGGGGGGAATAGGTAGGAGGAGGGGAATCTGGCAGATGGGCAAGTACTGACCGGTTGGCGACCAGCTGGGCCAGCATGGGGTGGGAGTTCCCACTAAGGAGTTTGATCTCGTTCGACATGGTGGACATGATGAACGAGAAAGAAAGGAGGGCTTCCTTGACTTTTTTTCCCCCCTCGCGAAGTGAATGCAGCTCCCTCGGGCCAGTTGGTAGGTATGGGGCACACCTTAGACCGGTCGTACACGGCCTAGGTAGGCGTGGCACGCTGGGTTTGGGACTTTTTAGCGCGGGGTTGCTGCTCGTATGGATGGGCGGTTGGCTCGCGAGGAGGGGCAATTTGCCGTGCTGTTCTGCTCCTCTCGCTGGCTGCTGCGGGTGGCAGACGAGGGTAAGCGCGCGAGCTCGTCTGGTTGGTCTATAGGGCTCGCACGTGAGGGGCAGGCAGGCAGACAGACAGACAGACAGGCTTTGTGAGTTTGAAGAAACCTCTTTTGCAGATACTGAATACGTCGAAGCAACAACAACAACGAAAAGAAAGAAAAAAAAGAAGGGCCTTGTGGCTGGGTCTGATTATTATAATATGTGAAATCGAAGGTGTCTCGTCTAGATGCTGCGAATAAGCCTGAGGTGTAGTTGAAATAGCAGTAGTGGTGGTAGTGCTATGGTGGGACGTAAAGGCAAGTTGATGGCCCGATTTATTTATTTTTTCCAAAGGCGGCGTCAAAGCGGTCACTGTTCTCGTTCACCAAATGCCTCGGGCTAGAAGAGACGAAGTTTCTGCCGTCCGCTCTTAGAGGGGAGGGGAGAGAAAGAAAAAAAGATTAGACAGGGATGGCGCGTGGACCACTACATTGTGGAGTCACCATTCCGTCTCGAAGAGTTTAAGCCCATGCATGATGGAGACCAGTACACAATGCTACCATTTAAATGACTTGGAAATGCACTCCAATTTGGTTGTGTTGCCTTTGGTGGAAGCATTCATCCAAGCAAGTAGATTTGAATCTGCACTTTCTTCATACGCCTCTTGCTGATAGTAGAAGCTAGACAGACATGGTGTGCAGCGTCAGAGGGGTTTGCAATCCTGTGGTATAGCAACTTTATCGAAGCACTCTTCACAACTGGACCGTCCCTGTGGGATCAAAGCTCATGATCTCAGCCTTGCAATGAATATATGTGAGCCAGTACTGTGTGCTTGATATCTAGCATGTGACCAAGTTCTTACTTCTGAGTCGCCTTTGGCTTGTTATTTTGTCAGCAACAAAAGTAAGCTCTGGAAGATGGATGTACAATGGAAAACTGGGGCGTTTTGGGCTGCCACATTGTATTATACCTGGAGCAGCCACTTCACAGATCTCCGTGCCTGCTAGATCGTAAGGACTCATGGACCTAGAAAATGTGCCATGGATAGTTGATACCAGTGCTATTCATATATGTGCACGTGAATAAAAGCAAGAGAGGTTGTAGGAGAAAGATGCATAGGAAAAGAAGAAGATCAAAACAAAATGGGTGCTAGAACCGGTTGACTTCGGATCATTCCGGTTCTTGTGGAGACCGGAGATGAGTGCCGATTCTCACTTTGGACCGGTGCCGTACCGGCTCCAAGATCCGGCTTTAATGATTTGAGACATGCACCACAGCAATGATGAGGTTAGGATGAACCAAGCCAGTAGATTTCATTATTCGAGCATTTTAACTTCCCGACAATCTGGGTACAATCCCAGACTAGAGCCTGGAGCTCAAAAGGGCTCTTTCGGCCATCTCGACTTGATATGAAAATGGTGATTATGGAAGAAGAGCCTTGAGAACATTCATGAGACCGGCCGAGTCTGTAATACCGTGTAGATGTTGCATATCTGTTGTCTGACCAAGTTTTATTGCCTGCAGAGCAAGACTCTCCACCATCGACCCCCGCCCCCCCATTCATTGTGTGGTGTTCCTTCACTTAGAGCTAGTATATATAAACAAACACTCCGGAATATACTTATGGTACAGGACTGAATCAATCTGATAAGGGACTAGTCGTGAGGATGACATGTGATGCTGGCCATTTGAAATACACAGGCTGACAGTTTTGCCTGCACAGTACTGCACCGTACGCATCCTTGATATTGGTAATCGTCCTTCGGCGGAGTGATGGAGCCATCGGCTATGGCAAGGAGGTGGAAAAAGAACAAGAGAGAGAAAAGAACAGAAAAAGAGAAAGTGGATTTCGACACCGTAAAACCCCAAGTACAGGGGGGTTCCACAAACTTTTGTAGCCTTTAGCCTTCTACGGTGGTCCATGCAGCTGCTGTAATAATAGCCTTCCCAGAGAGGAGCCGCCTGGAGCTCGGGCCACAGCCTGGAACCACTGACGCAAATGCCTTGGACAAGCCTTCCCCAAAAATCTACCTACCGTAGCTGCCTTGAGTTTTGGACTTCAACCTCCGCAAGATCAAAATCGCGACTGGCTTTCTTCCCTCCATCACTCCCATTTCTCACAGGCCGCGATCGACACACACACCCTCTCCTTTCCTCTCAAAGCTGATCCTGCACCCTTCAGCTTCCTTCCACAAGAGAAATTAAGCCCTCAGACCAAGCCAAGGCAACCTGCACACGCCGCGGCTGAACCTGGAAGGTTTCGTTTTCTCAAGTCGACCAGCGCCCTCCTCAACCACACGCACAGCCCCCCCACCCCTCAAAACCGAAAAAGCAGGCCCGCTGCCCCGCCTCGCGACCCAGCCGTCGAGTGTGACCTCATCTTGAACCTCACCCGGTCATCTGTCAACAGGAACACCATCTGATTGACTCCACGCACGGCGCTCCGTTGTCTCGTCAGGCTGTCCTCCGGGACAGACGTCATCAGGTAGTGGAGGGGGAGCATACTATTCTGCGGCTCTGCCGCTCCCGCTGCCAGGATGGGGAAGATCACCAAGACCATGCAGCCCAAGCACAGAGAGACTCTGGTATGTCACCGTATCCTGTCCGCTCTGCCCCACCACGCCGAGGACCAAAGCTGACCCTAGGCATAGTCGCCCTGGCTGAAGGACTTCGTGCAAACTGCTGCCGCCGTGCCCCTCCCGCTGCTCCCACAACGCCTTGACACCTTTCCTATCGCGAAGTGGCCGTTGCCACGTGGAGACCTGTACCACTGGATTCCCCTGCTGAACAGGTTCGACAACATATTGGAATGCTTCATCAAGCTCTACCGCCTCAATGAGGGCCCACAGACGCGTGCGTTCGGCTGCGAACTGCTACTGGGCAGCCAGCCGCGCGTCGAACAATATGGCGCCGATGAGTGGGACCAGGAGAAGCTGAGGGCACTCGCCTACAGGGACGATGGCGACGTGCAGCTCGTCAACGTCATCCTCCAGTTCACCAGGCGCCTCCTGAGCCGTTGTGGCAACCGGAGCATCTACGCCAGCAGTCTCCATCTCAATGATCTTCTTCACAGCACCGACCTCTCTGTGGTGCACGCCACTCTCGAAGTTGGCCTGGAGCTCGCCCAGCGCTACCAGGCCTCTGTAAAGCGCATGAGCCAGCCCAACCGTCAGTTCAGCAACGCCTTGCTCGCCAACCACTACAACATCGAGCTCGCTCGCGTCCAACAGATCGCCCAGCCCTTTGTGAAGACCCCCATCATCTCCCTAAGCGACTCTACAGTGCACACAACCCAAACCTCTACCGGCAAGGGTAAGGACAAAGAGAAGGTCCCGTCGACGGGTTCTGCAGGCGCGGCGTCCTTGATTGCCAACGACCTCGGCTCCGTCATCTCCGCAGATAAGGCTTCCGAGGCCCGCTGGAAGAGCTGGGGTGATCTCAAGGTCGTCTACTATCCCAAGAACGAGGCTGGCGAGGCCGCCCCGCAGCTCACTTTTGACAGGCCCGGCACCTCAGCTCCCAATACACCCACACCACTGCGTCGTAGTTCTACCATGGGCGCTCAGCAGACAACCCCGCGTAGCGCCAGAGCCACTCAAAGTGCTGATGATAGCCCCTCGCCGGCACACCGGACACCGAACACGAGCGACGAGGTTCCTTCAGGCTCAAGCCAGCGATCCTTTGAAATACCGCAGAGTGTGGTCGCGTCCACGCCGATCCACGAACTCCAGAAGCGCACGCCGGAAGACATGCCGGGTGTTTCCAAGTACGAGGTCCTCAACCGTTCGCGATTATGCAAAGCCTTGATCGGTGGCCCTGAGGCCCGTCAGCAGGCACTCGCCGTGCGCCTGCTGGCCGTTGCGAACTTGGCCTACATCCATTCTGAGTCTGTCTTTCTCGAACAGGTCGTCAAACAGGACAATGACGAACCTCGGCGGTATCATCTCGTCTACCAGCTGGTCGAGCTCGTCCACCCTTCTGTAGCAGGCCAGCCCCCCGCCCCCCGCTGGTTGCAGACCATCATCCTTTCGCTATTGGAAGGTATCGCTCAGTTCGGTGCCAAATATCAGGATGTGATCTCGGCCCTGAATGCCACCGTTAATCATGGTGTGTTGCTCTACGTTATCCGCAAGGCTGTTGTGGAGATGAAAGAGAACGCCGAGCAGTCCGATCAACAGTCGGTAGAGATGGATGATTGGCGGGGAAGCCTATTCTCCCTTGCGCTGTATCTCGCCCTGAACGCCAGGATCGGGCCAGAACTCATGTCTGCCGGGTTTGTGGATGTTCTCGTTGATATAATCAACATGCGCACCCCGCTCGCGGACCGTTGGCACAGCGTTGCTGTTACGTACATCGACACCTTGATTATCACCTTTGGCCCAGCCGCCTTCCAGGCTTTCACGAGCGCCAGCGGCCTTGCGAATGCTGCGAAGCTTATGATCCACACGACGTCCTCTGCTAAGAGCCTAGCGGAGAGCGGCGAGGGCACGCCATCTGATCTTTATTCCAGTGTTGTCGACTACGAGATCCCCTTCTACCAGCAGCAAACTTTGAAGTGGCTTTTGAAGCTGATTCATCACATAATGAGTCCCAGTTTTTCCCACGGTGGAAACACTGAGCGCCTGCTGAGAAACCTGGTTGATAACTCGAGGCTGCTCGCTAGTTTACGAACGATAATGGAAAACACCAAGGCCTTCGGGTCTGTTGTGTGGACAAACTCGATCAGCCTCCTTACGGATTTTATCAACAATGACCCGACGAGCTTCGCG